TAAAATCTTCATCACTTTAATAAATTACAGAGAAAAACCAATTCTGAAATAGATTAGTTCTAGCCAATTTAAAAAGTGCTCAGTACATAGGTGAGATGTTTATAGCTTTTTAAAAGAAACATTCTTTTATCTATCTATCTATCTATCTATCTATCTATCTATCTATCTATCTATCTATCTATCTATCTATCTCTCTTTATATATATATATATATATATATATATATATATATATATATATATATATATATTAATTAATACAAATATAAAGTTTTTCATTTAGCTGATTGGTGTCACCTTCAGCATCCTGACTCCAGAGATTCATAGACAGGCCCTCCAGCAATCACACCATCCATCTGTCAAGTGATGTCATCAATTGACTATTGATATTTCTTGTTTTTTCTTTATTGCACTTTTCATTGGTGCAAGCTTGATTTTTTTTTATAGTGTGTGTGTGTGTGTGCACTTGTGCATTCATGCACCCGCCTACATGTACGTGCTCATGTGCCAGCCTGTACAATGTTGTGGTTATTTCTTCTAATTTGTTTTTATTTTGTGCCTAATGATTACCATGTGCATTACTCAGATTTGTACCAAAAACGATGAGGAACAAATATATACTTACTCTTACTATAAATTTTAGTTCTGTTATTTTACATTGAGCACTCTTTTATTACCACTGGCTCTCAATGTAAGCAATTTTACACACACACACACACACACACACACACACACACACACACACACACACACACACATATATATATACACAGTATATTTAAAAAATGTATATTAATTTAGAATACAGAAGATAAAAGTATTTCTTATATGTATCTATTTAGTTACTTGAAAGCCATAAGTTCAATTCCTGGGTCAGTCAGTGGAAGTTAGATGCTCCATTTCAGTCAAAAAAAGCAAAGGTCTATTTAAAACAAAAAGAATTAACTGATACAAAATATCTCTCAGATGACAAAATGGACAATCTCACCTTATGGATTGAATAAAGAGTTATGGTTTAAAATTTCCAGAAGTTTTGTAAATGTGCCAGATATCTGAAAAGGGCTGAAGGGTACAACAGCCCAAATATTGTGACTATAATAACCAAGATAGGTCATAAGTTCAGTTACTATTTGATAATGATAATTCCTCACCTCAGAAATTCAGACAGAAATTAAGCTTGATTCATTTGGATTAAATTAAAAGTAAAATTAGATTAAAGTTCAGATTGAAGTTGAGAGTTAGTTTATAATTATTTTGCAATTGTAAGCTTCTAATTGGTGACCATCTTTACTTTTAAGCATCCTAGTTTTTCGTTTATTCTAGACAAACTCAGTTTCAAATATATTAAAACTTGATATACTTTCATCACTTAATGAGAAGATATGTTTCATTAAAAAGGAACAATTAAGTAATTATTCCATCTTAGAAATTTCTTTATGGGGAAAACCAGAAAATGATATTAAGCCTAAAAACTGAAAAGTATTGATAATTTTTAAAAAACTGAAAAGTATTAATAAAACTGAAAAGTATTGACAATCTACAAAAAGTGAAAAGTATTGATTTTTTTAAAAGTAAAACTGAAAAGTATTGGCATTTTATAAAAATGGAAAAGTATTGAGAGTTTATAAAAACTGAAAAGTATTGAAAATTTGCAAAAACTGAGAAATATTGACAATTTACAAAGTTGAAAAGTATTGTTAATTTATAAAAACTGAAAAATATTAACAATTTACAAAATATGAAAAATATTGATAATTTACAAAAAGTGAAATGTATTGAAAACTTATAAAACCCTGATATAATTTTGAATGAACCCAAAAGAGAAAGGTGAAAAAAAAATACAAAAAATGTTTGGTTGATTCATTAACTACTTGAATGTAAGTTTATTCTTTTATATATTGTATGTTAATTAAAGATAAATTTGAATGTTAATGCTATGAGTGTTTCTGTAGGTAACTTTGTTTTAGCTTACAGTTAAATCAGTTTCATATTTTCTGTTGAACATATAAGAGAACAAGCTGTACCCTACACACAAGCTGCTAGTGGCAGCCACTGGTGGACTTCTACAGGTCCGCCAGTGGTAACATTGCCAAGACAGTGGGCAACCTGCAGTAAATGCTAGTGGCACGCAACCCAATGGCAGATTGGTAGAATCTTTTCTCAAAACATGTATAAAAAACAACCTAGACGATTATACATAAATCTTTAACATTTTTTTTACAAATAATAAAAATAAAAATAAATTTTCTATACTATTGCCTTTGATTTTGCTGGCATTATATAGGTGGACTAGCAGTTATAACCAATTTGGTACCATTGGTCAGAAGTACCTGTGTTTATTTGTGTTTTTATATTTACAAATTTGATTTTTGTTGTTCTTTTCAATGTTTCAAATACAAAAATATGTACAAAATTTTCAGCATATACACAAAATGTTTAATTAAAAATATTTGATATACGTCCAATTTCTCTGAGCAACATTTTGGTGACACAAAATGAGACAAACACTATTATTTTTACATCAGCAGACCAATGAGAGAATTGGTGCTGATTTCAAATTTGCAGAAATTCTCAGGTTGTGAGGATATTATTCTTTGTAATCTGCAGTTATATCTCTAGTAGAACCTTGGATTTTTATTCTTTGTCAAAACAGCTTAGCATTTAGTTATCAAAATGTAGTAGTTGATCAAGATAAACTCTCTCACCATCTATATATATGTGCATGTGTGTGTGTGTGTGTATGTGTGTTTCACAAAAAGTGGTCAACGGGGATATTTCGAGAAGATAATATTTTTAACAAATTCAGTTTTTGTTATAATGCTTGATATCAAGAGATATTTTAAATAAAATTAAGTGTTCACTTATCTTGTTACTACTCTGAGTTCCACAGAGATTACATCCATTCATTAGAAGATTTCATTGTAAAATTGTAATTTCAACTTTATAATCAACTATCCTGACAAGTTGATGTAATCTCTACCATGGCCAACTATTATTATAAGGTTCCACAAGTCATATAGAAAGCTGAATTATAACAGGCCGATATAATGTAAACAAAAAAAATGTGACTGGCCGCTTAGAAAATTGCTAATCTAAAAGGGAGGTAATTTTAAAAATGTAATTCTTAGAATGTAAATTAACAATGTACAATTACATTAGAATTTATCAGATGTATTTCAATTCCCTAGACATGTTTTCAACACTAAATGCATATTTACACCTTTATTTTGCTAACCCATGAATTATAAATGGCTCTTTTATGATTTTCAATTGCATATACGGTTCATTTTGCAAATGAACACTATTAGGTAAATTTTCTACCTCATAGTACATTGAATTTAAAGATTAAATTATAAAGTTTGTTGTGATATTTTGTTTAAAAAAATGGTTAACAAATGTGTTGCATTTGGCTGTTCTAGTGGATATGTTACTAACAGTGAAAAAGTATCAAAATTTTCTTTTCCGTTTAGAAAATCCAACCTCATAGAAAAATAGATAAAATTTGTTAATCGTATTGATTGATTTCCTATGAAAAATTCAGTTTTTCTGAAAGAAACATTTTGAAGAGAAATATATTTTGAAAGGAAAACAAAAATTGAATTGGATTTACACCCAATACCTAAAATACATTCAGAAAAAATAAGAAAACCATCTCTTTTACAGAATATGAGGGAATTCAGAAAGTCTCCAAAACAAAGACTGGTTAAACTGATGAATTACATGATTTTATTTCAGCTGATACGATAAAGGATTTTACTCAATTGGAAGAAGCAAAGTGTTGTCCTAACAGATTTGAATTTAAAAAAAAAGGAAGATTATATTCTAACTTATAGAATAGTCTTTGACCCTGAAACACATTTTCCATCTATAAAAAAATGTATTTGCATTGACCAAAACCTTCACGCCCAGCTCCAGTGTGATGGAACCCCTATACTGTTACCACTGTGGTTTATACATGGACATAATGCTAAACTCACAAGATTTAGCATGTTAGAAAATTTTCCAAACTACATACAAAACATGGTGGAAGAACAACCATACTAAATTCTAAAAGAATTATGAAAAAGACACCATTACCAAATAAGGTTGTCTTTGATTTTCTGCAAAACTAATACGTTATACTTTACTACTTCACTATATGTCTCAACAAGTCTACAAATTTTGCAAAAATTTCTATTATCATCTTTTTCTTTATTAGAGAAAATTCAATAAAATTAATTAAATGTTTTCAATGCAAAATGTGTTCACTGGTCATGGTCGGCAATGCTACAGAGAAACACTACTTTGACTTACTTTCTTGAAGGGGTCTTATGGTTCCATCTAACCAAAAGGCAGAACTCATTTGTGCTTGTGTTGCTATACTTGATTATGCAGATAAATCTATTGTAAAGAAAGAATTTTGGTAACTTATTCTCCAAAATATGTTTTTACTTGTGAACAACGCACTGAAAAAGGAATTCACTTTGCAGCAAAAATTATTGTGAATATATTTTACAACAAATGAAAGTTTTTATTGGATGAAATTCAAAAAATAATATAGAATGCTTTAAAAAGGGAAAGGTCAAAAGAAAATTGATTTATGCAGTAACCAGTGGTAATTTTTTTTACCTTTATTTATTATGTATTATTGCTTAATTCTTTAATAACTTTTTTGTTTACAAACTTTTATTATTACTTTTCTGTTTAAAAAGAGAAAAAAAAACAACCTGTTTGTGTATTTCTGGATGGTTTTAACCTGTTTTAGATAAATAAAACAGACATAAATTGACTATAAACCAAATATGCTCGTTAGAAATTAGACTGAAATGTAACATGTGGGGCTGTATATATTAGTAAGCCATGTCTCTATAAAATTCAGAGTAGGAGCAAGTGAATATGTAAATTTATTTATCACTATACATATGTGTATGTATAGAAAGAGAATTATATTCTTGTGTATATGTTAATAGAATATATATACATTTTCATATATTTATTTGCATTTTCGGATTTGTGTTTTAGAATATGTGCATTCTTTGGAGAATGCTTTAAAGGATTTGAAGAAAGAAAACAGGACGCTCAAACTAAACCTGCCTAATCCAGACAAAGAAGTGTCACCTGAGATCAAAATGCCTGGAGATTTGAACCTGGATCAAATTGCAAATGTCTCAGACAACACAGTCATTCGAACACATATTCAATCACTTAATCAAGCTTTAGGTAAGTTTGGATTAAATTGATTGTGGAAAGTTTATACAATCTGTTTCAACTCTGTCAATCCTTTTCTCCCATGTATTGTGAAGGTACATCTTTTGGTTGATTCTATATCTTGTAATCAGCTTAAATCTGAGTATAGTCACTTATTATTAGATAGAGTAAGTTCTTTTTCCACTAAACTATAGGCTGATACATTCTTGATTATTACTGTTGTTGTGGGATGTTCTGTGATGTGTCGGCCTTGTTTGAATGTACTTTTTTTTTATCTATACAGTTGTCGACAGAATTATTCATTCCCACTGAATATTTGTATATTTTCTAAGGAAATGTGAATATTTGCAAGTACTTACTGAATTGAACATAAATAATTGATTCTGTATTTAGTTTTGATTAATTCATTAAATTTTTAGAAGTTTCATATTTATAGTTACAGATTTTTTCTAAAAATTGGTGCAGTCTAAAATTATCACCCACCCACACTTATGGAAATTATGAAATAATAATGCTCTATGGCAATTGTAAGGTTTTTTTTTCTTAATTTTACATTTAATACAAACACTCTTTGAAAATGAAATAGTATTGACCTGATTCTATAACATTCTAAAATGTAATGAAGACAATATGTGAGTACCATATACTGTGATAAATCATTTGTTCTGTAACCATAACAAGGATGGTTGAGCTTGACAAGAAGCTCTAAATAAGATAGTTGATATACAACACTTTCTAAGTGTTTAAATGTTCCTGGATCTACAATTCATAGCATTATCAAGAAGTACGAGACTTATTGTATTGAGAATAAATTAAGGACTGGCAGAAAACAGTTAATTTCTGAGAGAATGGAAAAGAAAAGTGTAGAGATAGAATCCTCACTTAACAACAAGGGACTTTGTCAATGATGTAAAAACATCAGGGTTGAATGTATTGACGAAGATAGTCACTAGATTCTTTCATCGAGCAGGACATCAAGCTTGTTGCACAAGTAAAACTTCCTTGCTTAAAGCTAAACGTCTAAAATGCAGATTAGCTTGTCTTAGAAGTCATCTAGAATATGGGAATCAATATTGGAACTCTGTTTTATGGTCAGATGAAACCAAACTAGAATTATTTGGTCACATGAACTGCCATTATGTATGAAGGAAAGTGAGTGAAGCTCACAAACCAAAAAATACCCTCTCTACAATTAAGCATGGTGATGGGAGCATTGTACTCTGGGGATGTTTTGCTGCTTCTGGACCATGAGAACTAGTACAAGGGTATCATGGATAAAAGCAGTATTTGGCTATTCTTAAAAATAATATATTAAAAAGTCCACAAAAGCTGTCTTTGGAGCATCACTGGACATTTCAATATGATAATGATCCAAAACACGTGGCACAAATACTTAGATGACAGCAAAATTAAGATATTAGTGTACCCTGCACAAAGTCCTGACCTAAACCCTCATTGAAAATTTATGGGCATATTTGAATAAAAAATTAAGAGAAAGAAATCCTTTGAATTTGGAGGAACTAGAAGTTATTGCCAAAGAAGAATGGAGCAAAATACATATCAGTATGTGTAATGATCTTGTAAGGAACTATGAAAAATGATTAAAGGCAATAATCAAGAATAATAGTTGCACAATTGATTATTGAATCAATCAGGCTAATAATTTTGTCCTATGTTAAATGTTTTTTTGGTGTTTTTTGCATTATTGTTTGACATTAAAATAAAAATTTTGTTGTGGGCATCACTGAACATACTTTCAAATCTATTATTTCATCATTTGTGAATAAAAGCACATGAAGTTTCCATGAAAATTTGAGATATTACAGCTTTATTTGTAATTATGGAAGGCAGGAGGTGAATAATTCTGTCCACAACAGTATGTAATTTTGTTTGGGGGTTAAAAGGACATCATCAACCCCACAACAGAAATCATATTCAAGATACCACACAATAAGTGTAAACAAAAACAATAAAAGGCTTTTTGTATACATTTCAGAGAAAATATTGTATATTTTAAAGAACATATAGGTATACACAGATAAAAAGGTTGTACTTATCTGGTAGTCACCACATGGCCTGTCAGGGAGCTGTCCATCAACATCTGCTTCATTTCACTGTTGAAGATGAAGAGAGAAAATTTTATTTCTGTTTCACTTGGCAGCAAAACACCTGTTCTGGTGCATAATGGGAGTTTTCATATTTAACTAATTTTTTATAATCTAATTTTTATTTCTTTATTGTTAATTATCATTCTTATCTATATTTTAAAGTAATTTCATTACTTAACTTTTAATTTTTTTTATTATTAATTATTTATTATTTTGGTTTCATATTCCTACATAGTTTAGTTCTAAGGGTTAGAGGTTATTTAGTGATTTATTTGTTGCTAGCACTACACTATTATTTTATTACTATTTTCACACCATCTAATTATTATTGCTTTTTGTCACAACACCTGGTATCAAGACATTATTATTATTATCAGCAGCAGCAGCAGCATATTATTAACACAGTTTTTGTTTTCATCCCAGAGATATTGCATTAGGGACGTTCTTCATCAAGTTGTACAACCTAAGACAGAGAGCACCTGCAGAATATTTGCAGTGCCAAGTAATGTAGACTTCTAAAGCAACAGGGTTTATCAGGCTTTATTCTGATTTTGTAAATGTAGGACTTCAAATTTGTTGGTATAGACCCCAATACAGCAACAAGAACTGGGACAATAGTGGCCTGAACATCCCACACTCTGGCAACTTCAGTCTGAAAGTCAGCAGGATATTATTATCCATTACCTGAAGTAGTCTTTGCTTTAATGATCATGGGCCTTGTCATTTCTTCAATTCTTTACTTGTTGTTACTATATTACAATTTGTTTCACTAATTCCGTTTTGCAGTGTGTACTGATAAATCATCAGTTATCTCCCCTTGAGATCTAGGAGGTATAAAAATCACTCTGTAAAATCTGTCAGTAGACGAGTAGTCAGAGTAAAATGCAATAAAGCTTTGGTATAAGTTTATTCACTGGTTCTGTTTTTACTACAATTTATTGCACTTTCAATGGAACTTTATATGCGGCCAGAATGATTTCCCTATGACTCAGAAAGTGAAGCAGCAGATAAACACTGGACACACTGGCTCAAAACTTTTACGAACTTTGTTGAAACTCTACTCCTTGAGAACCCAAATCAGCTTATTAACAAGCATGTTCTTCTGACTAACTGTGTGTCTCATTCAATCAACAATATCATTGTAAACTCTAAAACTTATGAAGAAGCGATAGAAAGATTACACACAACCTACATGAAATACAAAAATGAATTATTTGCCTGACATATACTTGCCACTCAGTGACAGGAATCTGGAAACATTGGATCATTTCCTAAACACCCTTCGAATATTAAACAGGGACTGCTTTGGAGGCACAAGAGGAACATATTCTAGATGCCTTCTGTTGTGTATGATACACCTAATTTACATAAGCCTACCGACCATGCAAATGTTCAGTAGAATTAAGGAATCAACACCTTTTTGAAAAAGGAACAGTCTTCCTTATACCAAACTAACTGTAAATATTGCCTGCTTGTTTCAATACATTTTTGAACAAACTTTTTCTTATTATTCCATGCTGAGCTTCAACACCTTCGTAAATGCCCATGCAGTCCCTTCTTGAAAATAAGACCCACTACCAGTCCTAAGCTGCATGAACAAGATACTTGTGAGTTTGCTATACAGCAGTCCAGCTCGTATTTTCAAACCGATACTGTGGTTGGCTCTCTAAAACCACCTGTTCCTATTATCCCTCCTCTCTATGATGATTCGACTTACTCTCCTACCCAGGACGTCCCACCTTTAAACACCTCAGAACAACCTGTCACTGCTGCATCAACCAAACAGACATGTTACTACTGCGGTCTAAATCTACACTCACGACTTTCATGTCCTGCCAGGGAAACTTGTTGCCACAAATGTGGAAAAATAGGACATTTTTCCAAGGTATGTCGTTCATTTAAAAATATCTCTTACAAAGTTAACCATCCTGACAGTTTGTTATCATTTTCTGCAACATTGTCTGTGTTCTGTGACTGTCTTTCAAAAACTATTATAAAAATTAAAATTAATGGAGTCCTCACCTATGCATTATTAGATACTGGCAGTTCGGAAAACTATATCAGATACAGTGTAGTAAAAATTCACAAATGGCATTATGTTCCCTCCCCCAATAGAGTAACAATGACAAACACAGCTTTGTCATCACACGTAAGTGGATATTGTTTGGCTGACCTACATTATAACAGTATTTCATATAAAGCTGTTAAGTTATTGATAATGAAAGACCTTTGTTGTGAGGTAATACTAGGCCATGATTTTTTTCAGCAACATTCTAGCATAGAAATCCCATTCGGCAGAGATAAACCTGTATTAAAGATTTGCAGACTGACTACAGCCAACATTCTGTACCCCTCACTTTTTGAAAACCTGACAAAGGACTGTAAGCCAATAGCTATTAAGCTGATGTTATTTGCATGACGACAAACAATTTATAGGGTCCAAAATAAAAAAAATGCTTCAAGAAGGAATAATTGAGCCAAGTACGTCACCATGGAGGGCCCAAGTATTAATAACAAATGCAGAAAACAAAAAAAAAAGGATGGTTATCAATTACTCCCATTCAATTAACCAGTTCACTCTTCTGGATTCTTTTCCATTGCCACGCACAGACGAAATTCTATGCGAAATAGCTAAATATAGTATTTTCAGCACGTTAGATTTGAAAAGTGCTTATCATCAGGTGGCCATTAAGCCAAAAGACAGACACTACACTGCATTTGAAGCAGTTGGCCGGCTGTACCAGTTCCGGAGGATACCTTTTGAGGTAACTAATGGAGTAACCAGTTTTCAAAGAATAATCGACAAAATCATAATGAATGAAAAACTTGAAAGTACTTTTGCTTATATAGATAATATATAAGTATAACTATATGCGACCACAATCAGAAGGACCACAACGAAAACCTTTGACAGTTCATGGACACTGTAAGCAAATATAACCTTACATTAAATAATGACAAATGCTTGTTTAGGCAACATAAAATCAATCTTTTGGGCTATACAATAAGCAATAGGGGCTAGACCCAGAGCGATTAAAACCTTTGCTCAGATTGCCAGTCCCAGATAGTATAAGTGTGCTGTGACGAACTATGGGCATGTTAGCCCATTATTCAGAATGGATTCCCTCTTTCTCAGAGAAGATACATCCATTAATACAAGTATGATCTTTTCCGTTATCTTGCCCAGTAATGGAAACATTTAGAAAACTCAAGCAAGACATTATAAAATCTGTAATCACAACTATATATCCTTCTGTCCCACTGGTAGTTTAAACTGATGCATCAGTTTCTGCTACATTAAGTGAAGCTGACTGCCCTGTAGCCTTCTTTTCAAGGACTCTCTCTCAATCTCAATGATGGTATACGGCGATTGAAAAAGAAGCCTACACCATAGTTGAGGTGTTAAAAAAGTGGAGACACTATTTAATCAGATGTCACTTCAGATTCAAATCTGTTTTGTTCATGTTCAACTCAAAGGCTACCAGTAAAATAAAAAATGTAAAAAATAGCAAGGTGGATAATTGAACTATCTTGTTTTTTGTTCGATATTACTTGCTAGCCCAGCAAGAAGAATTTCACAGCAGATGCCCTGTCAAGAATATGCAGTATAACTCCAAGTACAAAAGAACTCCAGACACTATTCGAGAAACTGTGCCACCCGGGCATAACATGGATGGTTCACATGGTAAGGAGTAAGAATTTGCCTTATTCAGTGAAGGACGTTAGGAAAGTTACAAATTCCTGCTGAATGTGTGCTGAGATAAAACGGAATAGCAGATGTAGACAAAGGCAGGTGATGGAAATTAGTTACATTCCAGTTGAGACCAAAGTTGAGAGAAACCTTGGTGCTTCTATGCTTTACTCCTCTGCTCCCAAACTACAACATGAAAAGAAAGGGAAAAAGAAACTAAAAGCAAATGATTATTGGTTACTTTACATAAGATTCCCAGAGCAAATCCGCATCAGTATTTGGTGACATGTCCTTAGTTGATTCCCAACATGTTACTAAATATAACAGACAAGTCTTTATTAATTCATTTTATTGATTCAATTATTTTCTCAGGTGATTTAAAGAAAGAGAAAACAGAATTATTGGCACATGCCAGGAAGCAGCAAGTTCGGATTACTTTCTTGGAAGAACGTTTAAAAACTTCTACAGAACAGGTAAAAAAGTACATTATCATTACTCATTACTTAATGTGTTTGTGTTTGTGTGTGTGTGTGTGTGTGTGTGTGTGTGTGTATATATATATATATATATTTCACCCCAAGCAAGGCAGTAAAGCCGCTAAGACACAAGGAGTTACTGGGTACGGAAGAATTAGGAACAGACAGATTACTAATGAGCGGGAAGAGAGAAAAGAGTGATCAGGAGGATAGTAGATAGTGATTGACATTGCATTTAAATTTTTGCAGATTAAAGTTGGCTCGAAAGCATGGTGCCAGAAGGGAGTTCCACAAGTGAGAAGTGTGAGAAAAGAAAATGTTAGCATAGAACCTACAGCTACATCTAGCCAGTTCAACTGTAAATTGATGAGATCTTGCCACCAGTCTAGTACTGCGTTTAAATTCAAAAAGTCTAGGTAGAGTAGCAAACAGCCATCTTAACAGCATTATGGGCCCCTGGGCAAACCAGTGTGCCAGGGCCCCTACAATAACCACTCACATGAATAAAAAGTAAATGATTGATAATATTAAACATATATTTATTTTATTGGCACTTCCACAAAACTGGTGTTAAAACATTAAAAACATGCTGCAACTAATCAGTATGATAAATAATTGAACTGTACACAAGGCTTGAAAAACACAATAATACTCAGTAAGCCACACAGATTCGATGGCACAGTATGAAATTACTACGAACTTCTTATTATAACAAGCATTTGTGGCATTTCTTTTCAGAGAACTGCTTTGTTCTTGGTTTGAAGTCAAGGGTCTTCAAGAATAGGATGTCATTTTCTATGCACATGAGTGAAAGCCAGTTTGAATGATGCTTCCCCATTGTGTTACAAAGTAGATTTTTTTTATAAGTTTCAATTTTGAAAAAGAATGTTCTGTACAGTTGATCACCATAATGCACATGAGCACTGAGTGCAAATTCAACATTCTGGAATATAGATTTCAAATTGTCCAAAATTATTTTTCTGTACAGTGCAGAGAGAGTCTAACAATTTTCTTCAAGAGTCACGTATTTCTTGAGATTGTTATAAAATAAAATAAGACATATCTTGGCTGATTTGCAGGCAAATAAACTAACACACTCAAGAGCGAGAGCCGGATGTGAATGGGACAAGGCCCCGTCACAAAATGACTATTATTGTTGTTTGCACATAGGCCTGACGCACGAGTTCCGGTCAAAAAATAAAATTAATATTTTAAAGTGTTTCTATTTTTCGACCAATAAAAATGCTTCCCTCCTAATTATACTCGCGTCGTTTTTCGAGCCTGTTAAGCCATAAAAAACGCCATAAAAGGGGTCACACGGGGAAGTACTAGCAGTCAACAGTTGTTTTTCGAGCCTGTTAAGCCATAAAAAACGCCATAAAAGGGGTCACACGGGGAAGTACTAGCAGTCAACAGGAGGCCAGGAAAGAGATCTGTCACAGTCAGTCTGGGCAGTCAGCAAGAGGAGCGCCATGCCAACCAGTGAGAACTACTATGAGAGATCAACACAGATTGAAAACTGGCTTATGAACTATACCACAAGGTAGCTGTCCCAAACCCACACGTTCCTATTGAAATAAATCATATAAATCTATTTCTGCTGTTGTCGTATTTCTTTCTTGCAACCATACGCTTGTCTATAACAAGATGCTCATATTCCTTTAAAAGGTCATCATAATTCAGGTCTTTGTGATAAATACTTAGCCAGTTGTCAACACTTTTTCTTTAGTGCATCAGAAACAATGGTTTTCAATTCACTGAAGAAGGAAAACAGATTTCCAATCTGTGAAAAAGCCTCTTCACATTTTGTCAGTTCAAAGATTAGAATGTCCAGAATAAGGAGGAAAGTTTCCACCTTGAACTTTTCAGTTTTACTGAGACGTACCTTTTCTGCTGATCCATCTTATCTATTAAGACACACATTTCATTTTCATTCCCGTTTTCTCCCATCACTGTAATCTGTATCTGGACATTTACTCCTGGCTTTGATTTAATATTTACTAAATTTATCTCTAGTTTCCTGAAGATAGGTTTTTATAGACTCAAGAAGATTCATGGCAACAAGGATGTTCACATCCCATGATTGCAGGACCTTGCTTGTTTTGTTCAGTTTTTCTAGCATGTCATGAATTGTGAGAAAGATTGTTTCCAGGTTTTTGATTTTTTTGCTCAATACTACTGCCTCCCACCTTGTATTCACTTGCTGTTCATTGTCAGCTGATAGAGAATACAGTGTATGTTTTATTTTCTCAAAACCCCCATACAGAGTATGAACAGTATCAAAATGTGCTGACTATCATGTGTTAGACAGATGCTTGACCACAAATTCTTTGCCTAGAGATAATGTCAATACATTTCATACATTTCAGCGATGAGTAGAAAAAGCAAAAAATGAATACAGATGCTGAACAGTCAAAGAATTTTACATTTGTATCGGTGACGCTTTAGTATATGTCTTACCGATCATTGTATCCTACCACCAAATTTTGTATCCTACATTATCTAACGTAAGGGGAAAAACGAAAAACAGAAGGAGGATGCCATTTATTGTGGGATTATAAAATTTAAAATAAAAAAATTATAAAATAAGAAATTTGACTGAAAAGTCATAAAACAAGATATTTGAATTCTTTAAATAAAAATATTTTGAATGTCTTTTAACATATTGAGAAAAAATAGGGACAATGCTTTTATAATGTAGGATACAAATGTGGTGGTAGGATACACACTAAAGTAGATACTTATCAGTAGGATACACGCTAAAGCGACACCCAACACTGCTGCTTTTACTTAATTTAAAAGTACTCTGTTTGGGGATTTGTGGAGGTTGACATGCTTGTGTGTTTTGTGTGTATTTTTTAGGTGAAGGTGTATGTTCTATATATAAACAAAGAAGATAGAAGAAGCATACAAAACAAAACTATGGATGTTTATTCCTTTCATGTTGATTGTATTGAAACAAAGTTAAAGGTCTCTTGAGTTAGTCCATTTTCCTTTTTGATTCAGAAATTATTTATGGAAAGTAAGGATAAGAATGGGTAAAGATGGTCAAGCTCAAGTCAGCCGCATGCTGAGTTGAGATTGCTGAATCTTTACTTCATGAGGAAGGCTGCTGTAAACATGTTTGAATGATCTTTTTGGAAAATGGAAAGAGAGCTAATCCAAACAATTACATGAAAGTATTTATATATTACAAGGAGTTATATATATAATAAATGATATGAAATAATAAAACAAAGTGTGTAAGATGGAATACATGAAAACCTATTGGATGTTCAAAATTTTTGTTTTTTGTTGACACTTTGCTTCTTTTATATTAGCATTATCAAAACATAAGTGAAAAAATCTAAGAAAAAATCATTGACATATAGTGGTAACTATAGTAAATTTAAAGCCAAAGAACTTGATTCAATTCAATTCAATTGTAATTCAATGAAACATTAGATTACTTAGAATATTTTTCATAAATGTTTAAGATTACTAGTAGTTAAAAAATTATATAAAAAAGGTACTTATGTTATATTGGTCAAGTAATTTTTACAGATAATAGAAAAAATTGTGCATGTGACCAAAAACCCTTTTCTGGTTTCTTAATAACTTGCATCATAGGAAAATGCATTTATATGTTTTTTTTTTTCTTTATTATTATTTTCTTTATTGGTTTATTTCATTTTCAAACAAATTCCTAAATTAACAGTACTCTTTTGAGTGATTCTTAATCTGATATTATTTCTTTTGGAAGATTCCTGGACGGTACTCATCTATGACATAACTTTTTTTGTCAATTCCAGCCTCAAAAGAAGCAAATTGCTTTAGACCAACTGAAGTATGAGTTGAATGTGAACATGCAAAGATCTCAGGCCGAGATAAACAGCCTGAAGAAACAGATTGCAGAACTTGAGTTACAATTAACAGAAGCCAGAGGTGCAGCAGATGAATATCATCGGGCTAACCTAGAAAACAATATTGAAATAACAACTTTAAGAAATGAGGTAAAGTTATGTTTACACTTGGAAATTAAAGTCAGCCTCTCCTTTTATTCACTTAAATATAAATGTTTGTTTACATATTAAGAAAAGTATTAGATTTTTGCATGCAACTCTTTAGATATTTTTCCCACTTATTATATAGGGTGTCCTATATATATATATATATATATATATATACACAGGGTGTCCAAAAAATTGACATCATTTTGTAGTCTAATAACATAGCCAATTTTTGCTCAAATGATCTCAAATTGTAAGAAAATGTATAAAAACTAATTTGACTGTACAAACTTATCTCAATGAGAATCCTACCATGAAGATGCACCAGGCATGCCAGCGATCATGACAATGTGCTGTTGAAATGACCACTATATTCACCTGACTTGACACTTTTTGATTTTTTTCTATGAAGCTATGTGAAAGGACAAGTCTATATCCCCTTCCTACAAGCTTTGAGGAACTTAAGCAGAGAATCAATGAATCACTGGAGAATGTTACAGAAGACATGCTACAGTGTGTTTGGCAGGAGCTGGACTATTGACTTGATGTGTGTCATGTCACAGGTGGTGTGCATATTGAACATTTGTGAAACTTTGTGAAATTGGTTATGAAATTTATATCCTTTTGAATATCTTGTTCAATTTTGATAAATAAATCTTTTATTGTTCAACATGAAGCCTATTTAATTTTGTTTGCATTGGACATGTAGTTACTACTGACATATTCACATTTTAAATGATATCAGTTTTTAGGAGCACCCTGTATTAATATGTTGTAATTCTAGAGAGATCAATTTATCACTTAATAACAATAAAAGGCTGATCCCCTAATTTATGTTCAGTAGAATATTCTCTTGCTATGAGGTTGTTCAGAAAATAATGTCCAATTTCAGAATAAACCTTTTAATTGTTTTCTAATATATTATTATAATAGTTGCCCTAAGACATTACTCATTCCTAATGATTTGTTTATTTTATATCAATCACTTTCAAAATTTAACTTGAATCATTATATAACACCTCATCTTGAATATAAAGAAAGAAGAGATACGTTTACTTGTTCAAGCTTGGTCATAATGCTTCAACTGCTGCCAACATTGAAAGAACATGTGGTGAAAATTCACTTGTGATCAGACAGTATGGCACTGATTTCCACAGTGGGAATACGAGCCTTAAATTCCACAGTGGGAATACAAGTCTTGAGTTCCACAGTGGGGATATGAGTGTTGAAGATCAAAGTGGTAGAGGATGTCTATCTGCAATTGACAATCGGCATTTGAAAGTACTAGTTGAACAAATACATGTCAAAGTGTCAGAGAAGTATTTCAGATAATGGGTGTCAGTATTTAAAAAATCTCAAGGAAATTGGTAAGGTAAAGAAATTGGATAAATGGGATCCACATGAACTCAGTAAAAGTCAAAAAGTTTGATGTTTTGAAGTGTGTTTGATATTGCATCTATGAAATTTGAATGATCCATTTCTTGATTGAATAATGACTTTTGATGAGAAATCCTTTATGACAATTGTAAATGTTCAGCTCAATGGCTTGATCATGAGAAAAAAGACCCCAAAACTTTCCAAAAGCAAAATCTCACCAACAGAAGATTATGGTGACTGTCTGGTAATCAGACATTGGTGTTATCCATTACAGCTTTCTGAAATCTTTACCAGAGCATCACTGCCAAGGTTTACTGCCAGCAGCTGGATTAAAAACACAACCATTTAAGCAAAATGTGACTGGTGCTGGCAATTCTCAGCCACATGTTGCCAGGATGACACTGCAGATGCTCACCAACTTGGAATATGAGACTTTGCCACATTCAGCATAATCCCCTAATTTCTCATCTACTCACTGCAACTTTCTCAAGCATCTTGAGACATTTTAAGCTGAAAGATATTCCATTGCAAAGAAAATGCAGAAAAAGTATTCACAGATTTTTTTGACATGAAAACCTTTAAAGTTTTACCATAAAGTAAACTTGTAACTCAATGACCGAAATGTATAGACGTTCAGAATTCCTATTTTGACTGATTTAAACATTGCTTAAGTACATCAATTCATAATTAAAAGTTGATTCTAAAATCATACATTATTTTCCAAACAATCTAATACTATTTACACTATTCATATTTCGATTTTGTTGTTATCACAATGTTTCGGCTGTTGTGTTCACTGGAACTGAACCCTTTATTTAATCTACATGGGTAGACTGTTCTTATTCCACTGCTCATGTCTAGAGATATCGTCTAGTTTTGATTTTTATTTAGTACTGTTCGGTTATTGCTTGCCCGTTTCTCACCAAATTCACAAACTAAAGCTTTTATCCACTAGGCCATTGTCCCATAGGACTGCACCTGTAGATGTAATAGTTAATCAGAATTCCCTGTAGATTACCCAGGTCAATATACACCTGAGGAAGGCTAGGAGGGCACAACGGCCAATACTTCTCATCCTAGAAATTCAGAAAGAAACCTCATACTAGTTTACCTATAATAACAGCTTTCTTTGTTCTGATTGGTAGGAATAGTTAAACATTTGTGTGTGTGCAGCATGACAGTTATTGGCATGGGAAAATGAAACTGGCGACCAAGTTCAAATTTTAACCTTGTCTGCTGTGTTCACCTTTACCTTGGAAAAGCTCTTCTCCCTAACTGTTCAGCTATGGATTAAATAGCAGGGTAAACTTGGCTCTCTATCCTTAACTGGCAGAGAGTCTAGGCAGTGATAGTGCTAGGATTGTTGGCACCCTGAGCACAGCTGAACTTTGGTGCCCTTACAAGTATAATTTTTTTAAAATTTTCACAAGGAGAAAAAATGAAAATTTAGAATAATGAGTTTATTACAATATACAACTTAATACAAGCTAAAGAAAACATTTATTATCCTACCTAAAAAACAACCTTTCTAGCCTTTAGATCTGAAAATCTTTTCATGTCCCTTTCTACACCTATCTTCTTTACAAGATCATTTTCTATTGATAAAATAGCCAAAGAATTTAATCTCTATTGAGTCATGGACAACAAGTATGTTTTTATAAGCTTTAGTTTTGGAAGGTCCCAAACACATGACATGGCGGCATGATGACGCCCTTGGCCTTGATAGTGCCCTTGGCCTTGATGGCGGCTTGGGTGACTACCTGAGATGCCAGTACCTTGAGCTAGCCCTGACTCTAGGAGAAAGATTACTTTAAATTCCAATGATAATGTTCTTTTTCCTAATTTGTAGTAGTATGCAGTTATCAATGACATAAGCACATTTTCAAACTTGATATTTGTAAATAAAAACAAAGTACAGATAACTCTTTAAAAAATCAGAGATCGACTTGATACTGTATTTATATTACAAACAAAATAACTCCCCACTTCTCAAATCAATATTTTTCAATTCTGATAAATGCTGTGGTTTGAGGAAGGTTTGATGAATGTTTATCTACAAAAATTGTCAAAAAAAATTCTTCCCTGTTTTTTTTTTATGATCAAACCAGTTAATTTAAGCAATACCCCAAAAGGTTTAGAAGGAAATGCCCATCTGTACCCTGAAGAGCAATAACAGTGGACTTGAGAAGTCTAATTTCCTGAAATGCTATTTTAATAAAAAGATTTTATAAATTTCAACCAATATTAGCATAACCGCTTGGTCAATTAATGGAAGATGTTTCCTGTACAGAAATGACTAATTTCAACATTACCATTTTAACAAATTTGACCTCTTCTATATTTTACTATTCTTCTCCTTTATGTGCTGTGTCCGTTCAGGGTGTAGACGATCATGGCTCTCCATAACTTCCTGTCTATTGTACCTCTTAATAAATTTTGTCTTTTTTTTTATTTCTCCTAAACCTTGTTCTGCCATCTATTTACTCAAACTCATTAAGTATGTTATGCATTGTTTTCCTCTATCCCTGTTGCCTTCATTCTGCCCTGTGAGTATCAGATTTTTCAAGCCCTCCTTCCTCATTATTTCAACTGTTACCTTTTTGTTTCCATTTTCTCTAACATTTCATCATGCTACAAGTCTCTTCTTCATCTTTGAGGAGATTGTCCAGAACTCATTGTCATAGAGGGAAACAGATATCATGAAAGTTTAATACACTTTTCCTTAAAATATTTTACTATTACTATTTGTCCGGAAAGTATCCAGCTAATTTGAATATCTCAATAATCAATAATGTGATTTTGATGTAATTTGGCAACCAATCAGAGGCAACCTCACTGTGCATGTGTAAACAGAGCATGGTTGCCAAATCGATCTACTTTTGGAAATCTGTTACGACTAAATCTTTTAATTTTACTATTTGTAACTTTTGTGGCTATTTTTAAAATAAGCTGGGCTGAACTGCAAGAAGACAGAATGCATGGTTGTTAGCAAAAGCTCAAAATACAAATTACAAATTGGAGATAGCAAAGCCAAACAAGTAGAAAAAATTAAATATCTGGGATGTGTTCTAACAGAGGACGAAAAGTGTGACACAGAAATCCAAAAATGCATTGGGATAGCTAATGATTCATTCCAAAAGCTAAGCAGAGTATTAAGCTAAGAGACAGAAAAACTTTGTTAGAAACAAAGAAAATAGTATCGAACCTTTACGTGATATCTGTTCTCCTATATATCAGTGAATGCTGGACAATCTCTTCAAAGATGAAGAAGAGACTTGAAGCAACAGAAATTTGGTTCTACAGAAGGATGCTGAGGATACCATGGACTGAATATGTGAGCAATGACAAGGTTTTAGAGAAAATGAAAACAAAAAGGAAACTTATACTTAACATCAGGAAGAGGCAGTTGAAATTTCTGAGGCAGATATTGAGGAAGTAAAGCTTGGAAAATCACAGAGTAGATTGAGGGCAAGAATGACAGAAAACCAACGCATAAGACACTTAATGAACTTGTGTATATGGATGGTGGAACAGGCTTTAGGAGAGATAACACAAAGACAAAATTTATTAAAAGCTACAAAGGACAGGAAATTGTGGAGAGCCATGTTCTGAGAGGATATGGCACATAAAGAAGAAGAACTTGAGCTACTAACAAGGAGAAAATCAATCCAAAATTTATTAGTGTTGAACTCTCAAATATAGGTTACTTCACTACTTATAGCCAAATCTGGTTACCTTGGAACAGGCACTCTCCCATAGGATTACCTAGTAGTAAGATGCCATTGAATAGATTTGTGTATGATATGATCATTACATTCCTTATAACAATATGCCTGCCTATTCTTCATTATTTGTGCAAGGTTTTATTTTAGCAAAACATGATATTACCCAGGCTTGTCAGCCCTCTATACAATCCAAATTTGTCTCCTTGCAAATTCCAGATTTTCCAAATGCCACAATTCCTATCGAAAATGTGATTTTAGATGGTGGATGAGGCAATCCCAAAACAAGATTTTTCAAACTGTTTTGAAAAGTAGACCAGAGGCTCAGATAAGTGTTTAAGTTCTTAAAATGTACTACCAGGTGTAACAGCAAAATTGTCCAATTGTTAGATTAAGCACTGAATGGTTGTATCTTAGAAATGATTAAAGATATCATACAGGAATTCTCCAAGGTTTATATAACACTATTGGACTCTACTTTGAACAATAAGAATGTATAATTACTCTAAACTTAACAGAAATCGATCATAAATGAAAATGACATGTTCATCATTAATTAATCATAGCTAAGGATCAGAAGCTCATGAATGATTGAAATAAAGTTCAAATATATATATATATATATATATATATATATATATATATATATATATATATATATATATATATATATATTCCAGGATCATTTTCCAACTTATTGAAGATGATCTTTGCCCACTTTAACCTTCTAACTTTCTGTCCTGGAGTAACAAGGTACCCCACAGGTTTCATGTATGATTTCATTTTCAAGTCTTTTTTCACTGCTCTATGAACTGTCATAGCAGAAACTCCTCTCACACATGGCAAGCATCTTATGAATTGAGTTGGATCTTTTCTAATTGATCTCTTTAGCTCTATGTTGAAATGATAATCCCTCTTCCTGTTGTGACCTCCTGATCCAGTTTTCCTCTCTACTGTTCTGTCTTTTTTTAACTTACTCACCGTTCTCTTGATTCTTGAATGGACTTTGAAGATGGAAACCAGAGTATGAATGTTGGTACCATTACTGAAGTCCTGAATGATCTTTTTCCTCTCACCATTGCTCATTTGGGAAGACAGTGGGTCTGACAAAAAATAATTTTAACCTGCTCTCTTTTTAGCTGAATAACTCAATGGGTTTTTCAGTGATTCTTATGAAACATGTGTCAAGATGGCTAAACGTCTTATCTGAAAACCTATAAAAAAGAAACTCAATTAGTTTAGTGTTTTTTTAGATATTAAACATTTTGTGGTATGGATAATTATGTTGTAACATGATTTGGACAATTTTGCTGTTACACCCGGTAGAAAGAGACTAAGGTACCATTATTGTTAGGTTATTTTTTCATTAATATTAAATTACTGAATACTTAGCAGACAGACCTTGTGTAACGCTGTGTCTAAAGATGACTCTGGACTGAAGTAGGCAATTCTTTGAACTGAACGAGATTCACAGTACCTTGTTTCCAACCAACACTTTAACAGATAAATGCCTTTCATCTTTATCTACCACAATCTTTTTCACCCTGGTTTTAATCAGCTTACAATTTCCTTTCTTAGTGCTGACCGATGATAAACTCTCACTAACAGTCACTTTCAATTTGACCTGAAACTTGTCAAGACAGTAAAGACATTATATTTATCCAAATAATTGCAATAAAATTAATTTATTGTTATTTCACCTTTTTTCTTTTTTTTACTAATGTTTGCACAATACAAAGCCCAAGAGCCACTCAATGAAGAGGGTTACTGTGTAGAGTTATATTAGAGTAGGAAAAAACAAGGAGTATAGAGCTGAAGTAGACTTTAAAAGGAACTGGAACCCCAATCCTAAACAGTTAGCAAGGGATAAACCTCTTCCTGTTCAAAAGGCTGAGGAGGAGTGTGAACCAGACGATAGGCAAACCTATCTACTCCTATTAAACTGGTGCTTAGAAGATTTTTGTTAGCCATTCTAAAAAATTCAAATGTCATATTGTATGTAAACTGTAACCTCATCTAAAGTTAAAATATCTTAAACATAATGAAAATATTTTTTAATGTAATTTCATCTTTAGTGTTTAATTGGTCAACACAAATATCTTTGACAAAATTCTATGGATTTGTGATAAAAAAATGGAATTATCTTTTTACTGAAATGAGCTAGAAGTAAACAAATTTTTTACCTTTTAATAATTTTAGCTTTCAGAGTATTAAATGACTTTATAAATCCAAAAAACAATAATTATTTTATATTGTCGTGTTCAATACTTTACATTTAGCTTGCTGTGTATTTTGATCACAATTAAGGTTTTTGTTTTGTCCAATATTGTCACTTCTTTTTTATATGTGACCTCAATGTTTACATTTCAATTAAATGTAGTTATTTACCATATCTAATTGTTTCTAATCTAATTTGTGTTCAGTCACAGTTAATACATTGTCATAAACTATGGAGGATTCTGATTTTAGATTGAGTTCACAAAAAACAAAAGGCTTTTAAATGATCAAATCTAAATTTGATTAGAATTATCTATCTCCTTCTTTCTCCCTATATATATATAAAATATTCGTATATTTTCTCCCTATATATATATATATATATATATATATATAAAAATATTCGTCCTCCGGCAGGATTCGAACCTGTATCCTATACGGAATCATCATTTAGCTTGATATGCCTTTACCGATTTGGCCACAGAGGAGCGTTCGGTTAGCAAGGTTGAATTTACTGTATTTAAACTACAATCTTCCATGAATCTCTCACGTACATTCATATCTGCTCATGGCGTATCAAATGTAAACAAATGACATCACACATTATGAAATGGACAAAGTCCGACAATTATTTTAAGACATTATATATATATTAGGGTTTTGAGTTTTGGCTATTTGTAGAATAATTGATTTCCTGTATCATAATCCAATGAACATTTGTTCAAAAATAAGGAAGGGTTTAATTCAGCTTATTTTTAAATAAATATCACCCCCCAATCACAAAATTTCTAAAATTGTATATAAGTATAGTAATACTATTATTTTCTGGAGTTGTCTAGAATTTTTTGTTTATTTGTAAGGTTGTATGGTATGCTATAGCTATAAAATGTTAAATGGGTTTAAAAAATACATAAGTACTCTCCAATTACATCATTAGGAAATTGAAAAATAAAGCTTCTGCAAGTTTGCCATTTTTGTTTATTTGTAAAGTTGTATGTTATACTTTAACTATAAACTTTTAAATTCATTAAAAAACATAAGTATTATCCAAATACATCATCAACAAATAGAAAAATCAAGCTTCTGAAATATTTTGATTTTTTACCTTTATTGTACATATGGTAAAATCAAAGTTTCATTTTGGTGGTGATATTTTTCAAGAACTAAAACAAATTAATGCCATTTTCATTACTTTTGCACAAAAGTTCATTGATTTATGACACAGGAACATTGGGTTACAAAAAAACATAACCTAATATATATATATATATATATATATATATATATATATACAAAGAAATAATCACACATAGAATCAATCATCAATATTAATGCTATTATTGGCGATATCACATCACTAGTAGAATATAATGTATCAGCGTTTTATGAATATGTCCTGAAGATGGTCTATTAGACCAAAACGTCCGATGTTGACATTATATTAACATTAAAACAGCATAATTGCATATTAGGATTTTTGTTTGTTTTTTCCGTATATTTTTCTTCATATATATATATATATATATATATGATAAAATAAAAGAACAAATACGAAAAGTATATCAATCTAACATATTTCACTTTTATTAAAGCATCATCAGAGATCAAGAGAAAACACTATATATATATATATATATATATATATATATATATATATATATATATATATATATAGGAGCCAGCTTTCCCTGACGATCCACTTCGGTGAAACCTTGGTAGCTTTGTCTGGCTCTCTAGGTTTGACTAGGTCTGCTCTACTTTTGTATTGAGCACTTTTAAGTTAGTTGATTACTCGTATCGGGGTTTTTTTTCTTTGGGCTTTGGACCTGTATGCTGTATGATTATTTTCAACAGACGTTCATGTTCATAGCTCTTTCTTTTTTTAAAACCTTTTTTTCCTTCAAGATTGATTTGACCATTAGCAAATCAAGAAACCAAAGGTTTTCCGAGACGAGTGTAGTTACCTATATATATATATATATATATATATAAGCTGTCAGTTTAGAATCTCAATCTTATTTTTTCTCGTATATAGTATACCAAGACATACAGCTTAAGTATAAATATTTTAACTGTTGTCTTTTGTAACTAAAACACATTCAGTCAAACTATTAAGCCAGTGTTTTTATTGTATTTGATCAATAGAAAGTGTCAGCCAATAAACAATTGTTTTTGTACAAATTAAACATTACTGTTAAAATATGAAACTGATTGTCATTTTTCTGAAATCAGCTATTTTCATTTTTTTCTTTTTCAGGTGTCTTCATTAAAAGTAGAATTGTCAGAAAAAAGACCAACATTAAATTTTGGTGCTCAGGTAAGTTTTGTTAAAGAAGTAAAGTAGGAGGAAATTCTGGCTTTAACTTGAAGAATCTTAAATCATTTATTCAAAAAGATATGGAAAGCATTTCTTTGGGTTTTTTTGTGAAATGGGAAATTATTATGGGATACATGACACTGATTTGATGCAAGCTGTATTCACCAAGTAATATTTACTGAAGCTGAGCAACTGAACAGCAGCATTACTAAAAATGTGGTTAATTATCTGAATGTGTGTAGAATGTTGTTTTTCTTACCATGTTTAATTAGAATCAACCATATTTCCACAAATAATTTTTTGTTTTCGTTAAGTGAAAAAATATTTGTGTGTGCATAAGTATTGTTGCAATAGGTGCATATTAAAATCACCTCATGGTTACCAAAATAAATCAGTCACTAAACTGTTGTGGGCAGTTCTCCAAGTACTCCTAAAACCAGTGGCAACAATATTTTACACATGTAAACGATGAGTTTAAGGATACAGAATGAAATTCAACAAGGTGATATTTTATATTTTCTGTTTTTATATAATTGACTAACAACAAAGAGAAAATACACAAGTATGCATGGAAAAGAAAGAAGATATTATGTTGGTTACAATCAGTAGTAGGAACATTTTCCACTTAACCAATTTATAGACAGAAGCACACAAATGCATTCTGGGATTTCTTCCTAGCCAATAAAATAGGTTCATTCTCTGTATCATCTGACTCAGTCCTGGTCTGTCTTGCCTTGAAATCAGAATGCTGTTTTCGATCATCCAAATTTGTTTTTCTGTGTCAACCCCATTTCTTAGTTTGTTATCTTTTTGCCATATTAATGTTGCTTTGCCTTATTACTGTTAATTTGCCTTGTATATATTGTTTGTTTGTTTTATATTATTTTTTGTCCTGTTCTTTTCTTTTTTTTTCTTGTAATTGTTTATTGGAAGATTTGTCAAATCTGTTTATTGGGCAGCTCCCCCATTTATTTATTTATATTTACTGATGGCCACTCACTCTACAAATTAAAAGTTAGCAATTATATGGGTGATACATGTGTGTGTGTGGGTGGGGGAGAATAAAGTTAAGTCACTGAAGGGGGAAAATATCCCCATGCCTGGAAAGGTTTTGGTTGGCGTTGTCAATTCTACCACATGCTAGAAGAAAAAGAGAGACAAGTGTAGGAAGACAGGAAGTGTCCCATTTTTATATGTGCTTGACAGCACCACCTAATGAAATTGGTGAAGCTATGTGGGAATAACCCTCAATATACATAAATACAATGCAAGTGATGTAATGAATATGCATACACCTGGGTTCCCCCTCTCAGTAATATGATTGGCTGGTGTCAGCCATAAATACGGACTGACATGAAGGTACATGGATGATGCCTATTGTCTTCGCCTATTGCCTACCACTATGACAAGGACCAGTCCATTACGGTTACCTGCTAGAGTGTCCTAACTGATTATAGTAGTCAACAACCACTTGGCTACTTCAAACAAATATATCCCTTTCTGGAACATATCAGCAGGGTACTTGATCATAAAGGGTAGCAGCAAAAATCTATGCTACATTTGGTTCATACATGATCAAATTTGCATCCCACACAAAACAATCAAGGGGGTTACAGTCTGGTGAGTTAGATTGCCAGATGTAAGTGGTGGTGTCTCAGAAATTGTCTGACAGCCATGACTGGGTTCTCCTGCTTGTGTGGCATGGTGCAGAGGTCCTGTTGCCATACATAGGGTCTTCCAGCACTACTTCCTCAAGGCACTTATGTAGGCCACTTTGTTAAGTGAGGCCCTGTTGGTAAATGAATGGAGGCATAATGTAGTCACCATTAAACTCATCCAACTCTTTCTGAATCCTCTGCACTGTCCTTAGATTGACACCCAAACACTTTGAAATATTCATATTGGAGCTTCCGAAAAGAATAATATAGATAGAAAAGAAAAGAATAAAGACCTTACAGTGTGACATCTTGAATTGAAGCAAAATATCTTTACATAACTGGAAAGGAGAATGAACTGTTAACAAAAATCATTATAATTGTCAACAACTATCTTGCTTCAAAGTAAATTTCATATATAGTAATTCATTCCAGGAACTTACCATTCAGCAACTTCAAGAAGAAATTCTTAACCTTAGGCAGCGTGCTGCAAAGCTCACACAGAATGACCAAGAGCCAACCTACCAAAGATCTGTCTCAAGTGATAATGATTCTCATGCTTTAGTAGCCAAACTACAGGCTAAATTGTCTGATTCAGTCAAACATATTGCTACAATTTCTCAGGACAGACAGCGTTTGATTGATCACAGTAACCGTTTGCAATCCGAGCTCAACAAAATCAGTAAGTAAAAATTTTATAAATTATGATTAATAATAACCAATCAATTTTCATCAGTAATTTTTGGAAAATTTGTTATTGTCTTTGTTATTTGTCCCTGAGGATGATCTTGGGGAAGACTGAAAGTACTTAGGTAGGAAAAAATTATGCATGTCATCTTAACATCAAGAAACCCTACTACAGAAATGGAAAGGATCATTATAAAAATAAATAGACATAATATGTCTATATTATTCAATAAAACATGTTTAAATGAAGATCTGCTTATATATATATAGGACTGCAAAAGTAGGTATACAATAAGTATTATCCTAGTATTACCAGTATTATAACAGTTGTTTTAGGATTCATTTAATATGTTTTGTGCACACATTTTGTTTTCATTACAGTATACTTACTTTTGCATCTCCCTGTATATATTGTTTAAAGTTTCCTTTATTTATATTCAATATCAGAAATAGTATTTGTAGACGTATATTCCTATGTAGCTATAAGAATCAACATCAGTTTTATGACAGCTCTTTGCTGCTTTCAGCATAAGTATAGAGGGACAGCCATTTTGAAAGAGGATTATGGGTAGGAAATAGGATAACTCCATAAAAATTTCTCCTGGGTATTTTATGGTTTATAGTTTAAAAAACCCCTAGGAATTCTGACTCATGAATATTTTAAATTAAATTAAAATAAGCATTACTTTTTGACTGATCCCTATAGTTTTCTTAGTAAATATGTGTGGGTGTGTGTGTAAAAGTAGGTATACAGTAAGTTTGCTGGAATCCCCCACACCCAACACAATCAATTTCTTTTTTGAAGAGACTGTTTTACCGGTAATTATTATGAAGGCAAGTAATATTAAAAATAACAACACCTAGATTTTACACAGAAGTTTATTTATTTTCACCATCAATTGTTAAGACAATTTAAAATCTTTTCCACCATCGTTTGTTAAAACGCAAGTTAAAATCATTTGTTCATCACCAGTTATTAAAAGAAATATAGAAATCTCTAAATATTTTAAGCACTTCAGGCATAATAATCTCTGCAAATCAAAAACTTGCCCTTGGGCATGATTCTCGTGCTACTTTAGGTGCCTACAACAGTCACAGACCACAGAATCCATGTTGTTCAAGTTCTGCCTACACAGCTCACACAACCACTGCACTGACAATCTCAAATATAATATAATCTTAGTTCTAAAACACTATTTATATTTACCTGCAAAATAGCATTGGTGTCTATTTTACTAGGACCAGCAAAATAGCCTATTCGTTTCTTTTTCTGGAAATGTGTAAAGGATATATGTTTTGTTTTTCATTGCTGTATACCTACTTTTGTACGACCTGTAAACAAATCTGGTCTATACGTTATATCCTTTGGGCAGAAAGAGAAGTAGTGGCAAAGATGTGGCCATTGTCTCAAAGTTCTTATCAACAGATTACCAATAACTTTAGTTTCTTCAAATTTGGTTTCTGATATAACACTTTTTTGTGTCAATATCTGCAAATAAAAATTTTATATTCTTTAGAAAATTATGCTTTTTTTAATCTAGAAATGAACTATGGTTTATTTAATAACAATCAAATTCCTGCCAACAATGGACTCTCATCTTTGCAGTCACCTGACTCTGGTGATGTAGAAATAGCAAATGGACGATTACCTGAGCTGGAAGATTTGCATTATAAACTGACAAAACAGGTGAGTTTTAATGTTACGGTTTCAAGAAGAATTTATAACTGTATGCTTCATACCAACTCTCTCTCTCTCTCTCTCTCTCATGTCTTTTCAGGATATAGGTGATTATGACTCTTCACAGCTTCCTGTCTTTTGTTTCTCTCACTGATACTTTCTCCTTCATGTCTCTCTTTGTGGAATTTGTTACTCTATCCATTTGCTCAGACTTGTCTACAAGGTTCACTCTCTTAATGTGCCATGTTCCTTCAAAACATGAGCAATTATGGTTCTCCATAGCTTCCTATTTTTTTTGTTCTCACATCACTACTTCTTCCTGTATGACCCATCTTTGATGATCAACAAATTCATGCTTGGTTGGGTATGAAATTTTATGGTTGATATTTTTAATCTGTAAAATATAAATTTTCTTTTAATTTGTAAGGTTCAATCTCAGTTGGAAACTTTTGAGAGACTGACTAGAAATTGAAAGATGAAATAAAAGGCTTCTGTCTATATTTCTGAGATGAGGTATTGTAACTATTTACACAATAGTCAGGTTTGTTATATTTATTTACGTGCAAATACCTTTGGGTAAGGTATGAATCTTCTCTCCCCATCTATAGGTTAATTAGTAGAACTTGTATCAGTAAATCGTTATTATTAAATCATTATTATTTAAATAACCTACAAAAGGTTGATAATCCATCAAAAACAAATGAATCAAATATATTTTTTGTATCAACTGCCAATGCATATTTTATATTGACTATCAATAATCTCTTTTATAAGCTGTCAATACATCTCAGTTTTGGGTAGGACACACTTGTTGGAATTTGCTATTTCTTTTCACACTGCTTCCTAAAAGAAATAAAACTGTCTCATCAGGAATTTGAACTCTACACTCCAGTCCAACTTCCTTTGTATAGAAAAAAATGAACAGTTGAAAATCAAAGTAGTCACAATTCCAAGCAGTTCTCTCTCAGTTGTCAAAAGCAACAGAGCCGGTATTTACTTGCTTTCTCATGGTGGCAGGATGAGACATTCTTTGAAGAGATATAAATCCATTTCTTTTCCTCCAGCTATGGGTTAATAGCAGAGCAGTCTGTGTTCTCTAGCTTTGGTTGGCAACTAGTCTAGGAGAAAGACAACTCTGAATTCAAAACCATTTGGGTGTGGGGATAGCAACTCCAACTAGTAAAACCTACTTGTAGCATAAACCACAGCAACAACAGTACTTAGCTTGGCGAGACAGTGGCTCGATAATACACAGGGAGTCTACAGGGCTAAAATATATCTCTTTTATTAATACAAATTGTTTATGTACCCTGTGTTATCATGGGTAGGAATTATTAATTCTTTGAAGCCTATTTCTTTTTCTCCCTCTTTGAATTACTTCGCCATCTGTTGATCAGTCTGGATACTAAACAAAATGATCATTTCATACTTAAATTAATTTTTTATTTAATTCTGGATTCTATCAAATTAACATTGGTCAATCAAGGGTATGTGGTTTCATGTCTTTCTTTGAACATTCAATATTCTTGCAGGGGTATGAGGGATTCTGCTACTCCCTCATAGACAGTAGCATGCAGAAGTGGGGGCAGAGAATTCAATGACCCCAGGCATCCATATTGGGAGGACATCCAATCAAAGAGTGAAATAAAAATTTAGTTTATATTTAATTTAAATAAAGGGTTTATTTCAGGTTTCATCTGTTTTTACATATTTAAAATGTCTTCTTTTCTCACATTTCTACAGGTGGCACTAAGCCCTATAGGCCCTCCACTACTTGAGTCTTAGGGGCATAAAATCAAGGAGTTGGCCCCAGGCATCAGCAAACATCAGCAAACCTATTTGTAGGTCAGGCATTTATATAACTTCTAGTTGCCTAGTGTGTGTATATCGTAAAGTCAGCTAAATTAATTTCTTGTTTATGTTGGTGCACTCACTGACATCTTTTGAGTCCCAGTTCTGCACTTGGTGGCTTTGAGGTCACTTTCTAGGTCAGTACTCAAAGCACCTGGGTATTTTGCTGTTCTGAAGTGACATCAAGTACAAAACATATTTTGGTATCTCTTATGGTGTGAACTCAGTGCATATTGGGATCACCACAGACTAAAGATTTTTGATTGATGTGTGCATTGAATATCTGGTCTGGTCAGTTACATATCTCAAGATTCTTAACAAAATCTAAAGAAGGGTCTATAATGTTATTGGTCCTGACCTGACTTCACAACTACACTCACCGCCATGATATGGTTTCCCTCTATATTTTCATGGCAGTTCTAACAAGTTCTCTGCCTTGGTACCTTGACTGCATGAATTTAAGATTGGCTACCAGGTCTCAATGTTTTGCTGTTTAAATAGTTAGATATAACCACAAGTTCTATTCTAATGGTTTCTTTTCTCACACTTCTCACCTGTGGAACTTAAAGCCAATTTTTTGGCTTCCTTCAAAAATTTAAATGCAATATTAGTTCTTCCTGAATCCTGTCTTCCTGAATCCTGTTCTTTTATTGTCCTTTCACCTCACTAAAATCTTCTCATTCTCTTTCCCTCTCAGTAATTCCTTGCATCTTATCAGTATTATCATCTTGCTTGAGATGAAATGATTAAAAAAAAATTCAATTCAATTCAGACCTGTAGTATTCTGGCTTGAATCACACATTACAAAGTATTAAGAGATAAAAAAAATCCTTAGAAACAGGTGTTGAATGTCAATGTAATAGCTATTCTCCTATATGTCAGTGAATATTAGACAATATTGAACAAAAAGATATAAACTTATTGCTTAAATTTTGAATCTTGCACAATCACAGAAAATATTATATGCAAGTAAATAAAGATGGTATATGTTGGAATTTCCAACCAAACTCTTTATTTAATCTAACTGGATTGATCATTCTAGTTCCACATGCCATGCCTTTTCTGGATATCTCAGTATGAGTTATTTCCCTCAGTAACTCAACTCTCCAACTTTTTTTTCAATTCTGCTGTGGCTAGGTATTGAACTCACAACTCTTTGAGTTAAGTCACTGGATTACTTCAACCAACACTTTTATCCACTGGGCCATGTGTCCTGATAAAAGCATTGGTTGAAGTAATCCAATGACTTGACCCAAAGAGTTGTGAGTTCAATACCTGACCACAGCAGAGGTGAACAAAAAAAAACTTATCTAAAGTCAAATAGCAAAAATGTTTTATTTAATACATTTTATTAAAATATGTTAACTTAATGTATTTTAGAAATTCTAGATAAAATACAGAGAATTTGCAGTATTATGGGACCTGGCATCTCAGCCTTTTCAGCATTTGGCACGTTTTCTTATTTATGAAATAATAAATATTAATAAGAAAAAAGAACAAGATATTGATTTAGAGGAGTTAAATGCATTGAAAAAGAACCATATCTAGCTCCAAAAGTGCTAAATTGGAAACTCTGTATGGTGTTTTGATTAGTATGTTGATGTTTATTACATTAAATATTGCTGTCATATCTGGTCTGGTGCTTCTGCTATAGACTTAGAGATTCTTGATAAAATGCAAAGAAGAATCAATAATGTTATTGGTCCTGACCTGGTATCTCAGCTTCAGTCACTTTCCCAGTGCTGTAACATAGCTATCCTCTGCTTTTTCTATAAATATTTTAGTGGTAATTTTTTGGATAAGCTTTCCTCTTTGGTACCTAGACTTTATTGAATTGTGTCACTTGATGTCCTCCATAGCTTGTCTGATTTTTCAGCTAACTGATGATGAGTATTCTTAAATTTAAAAATTTGGAAAACCAATAACATTTTGGCTCTTATATATAAATACTTGTTACACAGTAAAATTCTTGCAAATATCTTGATAAAGTCCCTCAGAAGATGAAAGTGTCAGTTAAGATACATTTTCCTTTAGTCTTTATTCATTATATATATATATATATATATATATATATATATATATATATATATATAGGGTGACCCCAAAAAAACGGGAACTTTTTAACAATCCAATAAAACCAAGAGTGATGAAGAAAAAATATTCATAGTAATTGACACCTTCAAACATGCCATTTAAGAAACAATGATGGAATTTTCATTTTTTAAAAATTACATCCCGTAGATGATGTCCTCCTGTACAAATGCATTCTTGAATTCTGCTGTTGAGATTCCTCATTGACTGCTGCAACATCTCAGCTGGGATACTGTGAATTTCATCTTGAATTCTCTGTTTTAACCCATCCAGAGTTCTTGGTCGAGTTGTGTAAACACAGTATCCCAGCTGAGATGTTGCAGCAGTCAATGAAGGTCATATTGGTTGGATCAAGAACTTTCAGTATACAATGTTATACGTTTCTAGCTAGGATCAGAGTGTAGTATCTGCAACCAATCTCTGGGAATTTTGATTTGAAGTTTGTTATGCTTTTTGATTGGGGAACCCATATAATGATGTTAATTTGGAAGGAAATGAAGATGGAAAAGTAGGTAAATAAGTTACAGAAAAACAAAAGAAAAACAGGTAAAAGGAAAATATATCTATATCTATCTATCTATCTGCCGATCTAGTACTGCACTTACATTCAAATGTCCTGGAATTTTTTTTTTTTATACATAATCCCAAACTGAAATAATTTAAATACTAATTTGCATTTTAAAAAAAAAGCCAAGAACATCATATACTCACTTTCATTTATTAGACATTCAATTGTGTCACTTGGAAGTACTGGTTGCTTGGTCAATGAATGATAAAAGTTTCCTTGTAGAGAAATGGTTGATATTATCATTTTGTGATCTGTGTATGTTTTTCTATTTATACTCTTAATACTTCAGAAAAAAATCTAATATCATTCAGTCATGATGAACAGTTCCACTATCAATGTGGCTCTATGCTTTGAATGTCTCTTGGATCTCAATTGAAAAGTGCAATAGAAGAAACTATTAGCATAGAACTTACAGTTACTTCTAGCCATTTAAACTGTAAAATGGTGAGAGCTTGCCACCAATCTAGTCATGTGCTTAAATTCATAAAGTCTAGGTACCACAAAGCAAAGTTCATCAGAACAATTACCACGAAAGTATTTATAGAAAAGGCACAAGGAAGCCAAGATGCCAGGTTAGGACCAATAACATTGTGGATTCTTCTTTGCAGGAGCACCAGACCGTATGTGGCAGTAAGATATTATATTATATTATAATATCTTAGGGAATATTATCCAGGCAACAGAAAATCTGTTCACTCCAGAATTACTCTAATAATAATTGACCAGGCAACTGAAAGTGTTTCCCCATCTAGAGAAAAATAACTAACTTAAATTCAGCTACTTGGGCTGAACCCATCTGAACCAGCAGGGGAGACAGATTAATCCAACAAAGCATTAGTTTTTATTACAAGGAGGATGTAAGGTCAATCCCTATGCTGGCTAATAAATATTGTCCATAGAACAGAACTTAACAGCAGCAATATTCTAAGTATGGACAAATGGTAGACTTTTAAATATGTAAGATAGATTCTGGCAAGAAAAATTGTCTAGCATGACATACTGAACCAACTTTCTTAGCTGCAGATTTAGTAATTGATTCAATATACTCTTTCTACTTCTTGTCATCTGAAAACATTAATCTCAGAAAGCACAATGAGTTACACTCCTGGAGGTTAGCATCAGCCATGCTGATGGAAGGTAAAAAGAGTTCTTTCTTATATTCAATCTATTACCAAAGATGGTGGAAAAATGGTTGACTCATTTTATTGCTTCAGAAAGTATCCAACACCTTCTATGCTTTATCTTTACAAGAGTCAGATTTGGCCCTAAATAGAGTATTGCTGCCATATTTGAGCTGAATTTGTTCAATCCTCACTTTCCAGCTTTGATAGAGTTTAATATTGTTTATGTGACAATGATATTTTCCACTCTGAAATATCTTTACCACAGATACAATGTTGCAAGCTTGTCACAACTTTATCCCTGTTTTCATAGCAAAAGTTCAAATGAACTCCATTTTTTATTGTGTGAAACTGATCCAAGTAATCTCTTTCCAACTGACAAAGTCTCTCCATACAAGCAGCACCACATTCAAAAAACAAACTCAACTATAATCTCTCGCATTGTGATTTTTATGCCCACCTGATCTCACAAAAAATTTGCACCCACTCTCGCAAATTTTCCTAGCTCCAAGACCATGTCTTTTTTAAATTAAGGTGTCAGGGTGGCCATATTCCTTTTTCCTTTTCTTCACTCATTTTACATGCCAGGCATATATGTGCTCACTTTGCCACACGTGGTAAGTCGTCTTCTTTTCTACAAATTCCACCAGTTCAGACCTTTACAACACCTAGGACATGCAATGCTACTTCCACATAGTTGAATCATTCATGTTTCCCTTGTATTCCAAATATACGAAAAAAGTTCTTCTCAGAATGTTTTTTCCCAAGAACAGTCTCTTAGTAAACTCCTGCAGAGTTGCTTTCCTGCACTCTTTAATCTTAACCACTTCAAGTCAAGGGTCTATTGTCATCTTTCCTCATTGTCCTCAAAATTTTCATTTCCTACCACTGTCTCATCTATTCATATCACGCACATCATTCAGTTTACCATTCTGACTATAAAGCTCTACTTTGAGTGACTCTCAAGCCTTCAGTTGGGTGAAATTTAGTAGATAAAAACAAAAAAGTACTATATGCAATAGACAGGTTTATTGGTGGGGAGTGGTGGTCTCCACAGAAAATCATTTGTCCCTCCAATCCACCCAAAGCTGCCTCTCCACCATTCAAAACACTCTGATGAAATGCCTGACAATAGAAGTTTACATTTGAATATGCTGTAAGATTTCTAGCGTTACTTTGTCTGTTTCAGGAGTTGCAATATGCACAAAAGTATCAAGCATTCCCTTCCAAACCTTCACAAATAAATGACTTGCCAGTTAGGGATGAGCCAGTCTTATATTCTGGTAAGTTACTCACACACATTTTTATGTTGCTACTCTATTTTTTTCATCAGAAAATAAAGCAAGGTGAAATAGATCATATTAATTGACACCTGCATTTTAAAACTGATTTATAAATTTGCAGAATGGCCATTTGCCAGACTAGAAATTGTCTGCTCCCTTTGAAAATGAGTCATACTACCAATGTTTCATAATAGCTGTAACATTCAGTGTATAAAATCCGTATGTCAATGTAATTATTATAGAACAGAAATACTGTATATACTTGTATATAAGCTGACTTCAGGTATAATGTGACCTCTGAATTTTTTTTGCATGAGTTTCAAACCCTACAGAAATAAATTTACCTGTGTATACTGCAACTGGTCACTTAAAATGCATGATTTTTAATGTCTTCAAAAAAATTACCTGTGTATAGTTCAATGCCCTGCCATATTTTTTTCATGAAAAACTGATCATAAAAACTGACACTATATTTATGTATATACAGTGGTAGTTCATTTTCTTTAAATAGATTTTATTTTTCATCTTTCAAAATCAAAACCATTTATTTGAAAATATCTGCTAACTTAGAAGATAATGGATTTATTTTATGAAAATAATAAAATGAAATTTTATAAAATTTATATAGACATATTTATATAATTTATAAAATGATATAGACATGTCTGTTTCTGGTTTTATAGTGAAATGAACTCTGCTGATTGATAAACAGTGGTATGAATAGGGTGAACTTGTTCAACCTATACAGCAAGGCAGTTCTGATAGAATTAGAAGTCCTACCAGGATTTATTATTGGCGACCACAATCTTAACAACATAAGATATGCAGATGATAAGTTTTGATAGCAGAGACACATAAAGAAAGCTGCAAAATCTCCAACAGATGGTAATGAGGAAAACTGAGAAGGAAAGATTAAACATCAACTGCAAGAAAACAGAATGCATGGTTGTTAGCAAAAGGGACAGCCTAACATGCAGATTACAAATTGGAGATAACAAAATCAAACAAGTACAAAAATTTAAATGTCTGGGAAGTGTTTTAACAGAAGAGGTAAAGTGCCACACTGAAATCTGAAGGCACTTGGGATAGCCAAAGGAAGCATTCTGTAAGATAAGCGGAGTATTAAAAGATAGAAAAACTTTGTTAGAAACAAAGTACTGAACTGTTACATGATATCTGTTCTATATGGCAATGAATGTGGGACAATGTCCTCAAAGATGTAAAAGAGACTTGAAGCAACAGAAGTGTGGTTCTACAGAAGGATACTGAGAATAACATGGCCCAAACATGTGAGTAATGACAAAGTTTTAGAAAAAAATGGAAACAAAAAGGACACTTATATTTAATATCAGGAAAAGACAGTTGTAATTTCTAGGGCACATAATGAGGAAAGAGGGCTTGGAAAATCTGATACTCACAGGACAGAATGAAGGCAACAGGGACAGAAGAAAACAATGCATAACCTGCTTGGCAAGCTTGAGTAAATGGATGGCAGAACAAGATTTAGGAGAAATAAGAAAAAGACAAAATTTATTAAGAGCTACAAAGAACAGGAAGTTGTGGAGAGCTATGATCACCTACGTTCTGAGGAGGCATAGCACAAAGAAGAAGAAACAAAGGCATAAGCTGTCTGTCTTTTTTGACTAAAATAGTTACATTGGAAAATATGCAGTTATAATGCTGTTTTATCATGTCCAGTTTTTAAATGCAAAATAAATTTCTCATTGAATTTTATGTTATCTTCAAAATTATAAGTAAAATAGGGTGTTTTGTCCTGAAATTTGAAGAAAGAAGAAGATTAAATGAAGAAACATACAGAGTTAAGAAGAAAAACTCAGAAAAACAAGAAAAAATAGTAAAATGATAACAATATCTCAGTAAAAAATATGGAAAGTATACTCCCCTCTGTGCATGAGAAGTCAGCATTTAAAATTTGTATCCCTGATGAGGTCAATGAATTTGGCAAGTTATCAGGTACCACTACAAAAGAAATGATCAGAGAAAATTCTAGTTTTTACTTTCATATCTACAAATGCTTTATCATTGAAACTGAGTATACTTCTCCCATAAATATAGAAAATTTTAAATATATATATATATATATATATATATATATATATATATATATATATATGACATCACATTTATGAAATGGACAAAGTCCGACAATTATTTTAAGACATCTTTATGTTTATACATAAATTATTATATAATTTTTATATATATATATAATCTCAAAAGGATGTTTTATCCTCTGATGGACTTTATGAAGGTAAATGTAAGGATTTTATTTAGCAACACATATTAATACTAAAAGTATAGATATACCATATATTTCTGTGTATAAGGCAACCTTTAGATAAGATGAGAAAAATACAACAACTTTTCATGAATGTATCCTATACCTGTAGTATAAGGCGACTGCTTATTGATTATATAAAAATGATGTTATTGGAAATGTTGCTACTTACTGTATCTTTAGAAATTGAAAATAAACAAAATAACAAAACCAATTCTATATCATGTTTTTCCTACATGTACTCTAAAAAGGAATCCATTGTTTTGTTTCTTCATATGATCTCTTGCAAATACTAGTGATTCTTCTTCTTCCTCTTCTTTTCCTATATCTAAACAGTTACAAACAGCCTTGCCATTTACTTATACTTCATCGACAATCACAAAATAGTGCTAATAACAGTAGTTGATTTCATTGATATGAGATTATTCTTTGAATAGGCAAAATTTATTATGAAGTTTTGCCAGTAATATATAAGGTAGAAATGGTTTTATTACTTTTATTATCAGTTTATTTGATAATGTGAATCTTTTCATGTACATTATTGGTTATCACACTGAGGCTGCAGTTAGCTTACCAACAAACATCATTTAGAATTTAAAGTTTCTTTTTTAGAATTGTAGTATAAGATGACCCCCAATTTTTAAGGGTAATTTTGGGTATTTAAAGGTCATCTTATACACAGAAATATATGGCATATATAACAGCAAAAAGAACAAAAAAACAATCCCTAATTTAAATCCAACAATACCAAATGGTAATAGAGATCAAACAAACAGGCAGGCAGACACTTTCTTATGTGTGGACATTGGGTGGTGATAAGCTAAGGTAATTTAATTTGATTTATAATTCCCACTTATCCTCAGAGATCCTAGAGCATTTTCCTTACACACAGTTTTATCTCTTCTTTTATCTTAGCCTGAAGAAGTCAAAGAGAACATACACTCTATGGTGAAACACCCGTCATTAATAAATTTTCCCCTTTGTATATAATTTATACATTAAGCTGTGCTAGTATCTTATATTTTTGCATAAAAAGTGTATGAGGGACATTTTGAATGTAATGCCTCCTATTTATTTTCAGGGAAATGACAACAGAGGGAGCACAATAACACTGTTAAATAGAATTCATTTTTCACTGGAAAATACTATTTTTCCACCTTTCCCAGTTGCAATGTGCTTACATCCACTGTTTGGTCTCCACAAACATTCAGCTACTGTTGCATGTTAATGAGAAGAATTCATTGGCACACTTATGCTTCATATGCACTTCCATGTCATGTCCTTCAGCCAGATTGCCACTCAGTTGCTATTTGTAACAGGAAAAAAGTATGGGTTATTGGTGGGAAGGTTTGACCTCTTCTGACATGCCAGCAACATTCACCTCTACCATTAGCTAGTTTGATAAAATAGGAATCATTATTTTTTAATGTTTTATAGAAAATTTGAATACTTGATTTTTCATCAAGTAAACTATTAACCTTACCTAGTGATGGAAATCTGAAATTTAGCTGTTAAATAAACAAAAGAATTCAATTTTAATATCCTATTATAATTATGCTTGTTTTTCACTTCGTTAATTCACAGGACCACTACATTCTGCCAATACCTCATAAATAATGAATTATTCTGTTTTGATCAGGCTGTGGAAAGAGGGGAAAAGATAGTACATGGTTTCAGTAAACAAAAAAAATTCAATTTTAATATCCTATTATAATTGTGCTTGTTTCTCCCTTCATTAGTTCACAGGACCACTACACGCTGCCAATACCTCATGAATAATGAATTATTCTGTTTTGATCACATGGAAAGAGGGGAAAAGATAGTACTTGGTTTCAGTGAGAAAATGAAAGAAAGGCATATAAGAGTGTTTAATATCCATTTCAGTGAAATGGAAAAAGTTGTCAATTTTAAATCTATTCATTTGTACCCACTTCTTAAAATAAAGACCAGCATTCATACTTATGATTGTTATTGCAATATTTTCTTAAAGTTGCTAATTTCAAATATTTAATGATGCAACAGAGGAATTTCTATGGATATTTTAAAGTCATAGAACTTGCCATGAGCTTATTCAATCATTAACTTAAGAATTAAGATTTATCACAAAATTTAAATAGGAAAACTGTGAAATTAAACTAGTCTAATTTAATACTTTTATCTATCGATATAATATAACTAAGAAAATTCCCTAGTCAAGCTCTAAGAGTTTCTGGGGATTACTCCACCTTGTCTGCTAGAATGCCCACCAGGTGGCATTCTATCCAGAGCTATAAAACCAAAGGAACATAAACTATCCTGATTTTGTTTTGTTTTTTATTGGAGGACTTTCCTCTGTGGAGGGGATTTCTTTACCCCTGTAAACTAACTAGTTAATTTCAAACAAACCACACACACACACACACACTGCTAGGAACGCAAACATTTTCTTTCCTTCTTTTTTACCTACCTGTATACACATAAATATAATTTTCTCTTTCTCTTTATTTGTGAGCTAAGTTGTCCTTTATATAAATATAAAATATACATGTAAAATCCTTCCATGTGTTGAAATTCATTTCTTTTCAGATTTCTCAATCTCTTTGTCACAATTTATAAACAACTGCATTATTACAAAGTAGCACCTCCTGCTACAAATTGGTAACCAACTGTAATCACATTCATTTCAAACCTGTTGTGGGTGTCAACACAAATTATTTTTTTTAATTATGAAGCATATGAACATATAAGAAAAAACTTTGTTTTTAACAATTTGGCTTTCATTCAGTAATTCAAGTTTGGTTTATTATGTTTAGCAGCATATCAACTTTTATGGATTATTTAATGCTGAAATCTAAATATTTTGAACATAATTTTATGGATTCAACTACAGATAAAATGTATTGCTGATCATTTGCTTTAAAAATTTATTGTTGGTAATTCTACTATAAATATGTATTGTTGGTATTTTTTATATAAAAATGTATTGCTAGTATTTTTACTATAAAAATCTATTTTTTTACTTTCATAGTGTTTGGGGGTTCACTATTTGCCCATAGCTGGGACACTAACAGGTGCTATTACCCCAGGTCAGAGTGAACCATGGAACAGCAATGAAGATATGGTTCCACTCTCCTCAAAACCTCCACTCTCCCGATCAGAGACTTTGTTACTACATGTAGCTTATTGTCATAGCCATAACTAATTAATAAATACGACAAACACTGTAATTTTATTATTATAGCCTATCATACAACTAAAAGAAAATTTTTCTGGGGATTTGAATGCCTTATTGCTATAAAATGCTTTACCAAAATCTTTACACTATTCTTTGTGATAGATTTTTGGTCTAAATGGATTCATGCTTATTTTTTTTTTCAACTGAAATGGATTTTTTGTAATAAATGTAACAAAAGAGAAAATCACCTACATTGAAAGAGTTTGTGTTTTGTATGTGGTCTGCCGAAGGAAAAATAAAGCACATGAATCTTTTTTTTTTTTTACTGAACTCATTGGTTAATACTTAAGCAATAAATGAAGCTATATTTTGTAAAAGAAGCTTAATTTTTTATTCAGATTGTTAAAGTCCTATTGATTTTTCTAGCAATTTTCTTACCTATCCTTGTTAAATTTATATCACTTTTAATAGGAATCACATTACTTTTTAATATATAAAAATTGTTTTTTAATAATATTCATTTAGCTTTAATGAGTTTATGTTCATTCTTAATTTCAATGAATTTTTCTTTCTTTTATTCTAGATACATTAAAAGTGATGGCTGATAATCAAATACAGCAGCCACGCTCATGTCTATTGAGATCTTCATCAGAAGGTGGACAGTCTCTTTTTGATGTATGGAAGTTATTAGAAGAAACATCAACTATCAGTTCTGTGCCTCCAATACAAGCTACAGGTAGTGATTAATGTCTGAGAATTTTACAAAAATATGGAAATTGTTCTATAACACCTTTTGCTGCTGCATACACCCAGTGATGTAACCATGTTTTAGTGGTCTGGTCCTCAGGGTGTTAGAATGACAATTTAGCCACTGGGCTAACTTTGTGCAGGTCAATGCTGATGCTGGTCCAAACTGTTTATTGGTCACTGGCTGCTTCAATCCACACCAACACTGCCCACACTAAGCAGGAGAAAATCAAAGGTTGTAGTCTTGTAGCGGTGTTTCAAGCTCTGGTGGGTACTATATTAAAAAAAATATCTTCACGCTAAAAAATAAAACACGAGATTTGTGGGGATAATCTTCAATTTGTTTATATAGCTTTTGGTACAACAAAAATTAACCCTTCACACATCAATATCTATAGTGACAGTGGGCCTTGTCTGAACTTCTGGAGTAGCTGGGTTCAATGTTTTGAAATGAGGAAATCTGTTGGCAGCTCATGTGGATTTCAGAGGCACAATGCAAGATCTCAGCCCAAAGTCTCCAAGCTCCCCAAAGTCATCTGCTTATATGGCCCAAAACTGGTATGCTGGGCGTGATACACACATAGCAATCATGTATCTTTCAATACAGGATCGCTATGTGTGTATCACGCATGGCACATAACTGACTGACTGATACAGTTTGGAGTTGGGTGTGGCAAATGTAGACAGAAATTATTCCTGGAGATCTGAACATACACAAAATTTGTTCCAAGTGTTTAGTAATGAGCAGAAGGAAAGACATATTGGTGACAGCAGGTAGATGGTTAACAGGCATCAAAATTGTCCCTCACCCTCCCTACAGTCCAGACCTTGCTCCCTTTAATTTTTGATTCAGGAGCTATTATTTTGGAAATATTGAGAAGATGAAGAAGGCTGTTTCAGGAGTCCTGGACACCTCCACATTGAATGACTTCTATGGAGCCTTCAAGGGTTGCTGGAGTGCTACAAACAAGTGCACTGAAGTCAGAAGATCCTACTTTGGAGGAGATTAGAGTTTTGTACTTCTTTGAAATTCATAAATGCCTCTCCTGAAAAAAAAGTCTCAAAACTTCTAAAAGGCACCTCATATATAAGATAAAAAAGAGTGACATTTTTCAAATGGATGTAACAAAATTCAAATTATATGGTTTACAATCTGTAACTGAAGGTCAGCAAAAAAAAACAGTATGTCTAAAGGACAGTTTTTCCCTTGACACTGCTATTATTTTAACTACCTTCACTCCTTGGAAAGGTTTGTTTTAAAAAGCAAGGAGTAGAATTTTAATAAAACCTAAACAGATATATGATGAAAGTGAATTTATACATTTTCTTTGTTCTTGAGAATTTGCAACAAAAATAATAAACACTATTTATTTATTTATTAGTTTGTTTATTTACACTATTTATTTATTATATTGTTTATTGGGGTGGTTGGCAAAACATCAGCTAAATGCCAAATGGCTCAAACTTTATAAAATGGTAAACAATAAGGATTTCAATATTATTGATTTATAGATTTTAATAATTTTGTAAATGTTTGTAAATGTATGAATAAAAATTGTTTTCATATTTATTTCTTTATAAATTGGTAAATGATAAATATTGCATTGCATTAGTTTTAATACAATTGTATTAGTTTTTAGAAAGTTGTAAATATAAAATTATTCTTGTAAATAAACAATCTAATAAATAAAAAGTATTTAATATTTTTGTTGTAAATTCTCAAGAATGTTTAGGTTTTATTACAATTCTAATAATTGCTTTTTAAAATAATAAACATTGCCAAGGAGTGAAGGTAGTTAAAATAATAACAGTATCAAAGGAAAAACTGTCCTTTTGACACACCATTTTTGGGGGGTGCAGGGCACAAAGTTTAAAGATTGCCTTATGTGTTTCGTATAAAAGTTTCAATATTTGTTAATTAAAATGCCTTTGAATATTTACATTTTGTTCTTTCTAATTCATTTTTAACAAATATTTGCAGAAATTCTGGCTGCTGATGAGGAAGTTAAACAGGCAGAGAAAAGTAAAACATCTTTTGGTTCAAAGTTAAAAAAGAAAAGCCAAGGCGGCAAAAAGACACAAAAACTTAAAATAAGAAATTACAACTTTAAAGATGATGATGCACTCTAATACAAATGAAAAGACTTAAATATGAAAACAATTCTTTATATTTCATGTACAGAAAGTGTAAATAAATATTATATCTATATTTTCTTTACTTCTTGGTGATTTTTTTCATTTTCCTACTTTAACAAATGACAAATTTTGTTAAGTATCAATAATGGAAATATTAGTCATTTCCTTATAAGAAAACATTCAGCATTCATTGACTGAACAGTCAGTGCTATATTTGGCTGAAATTAATAAAATCTTTGTTAAAACAATTTTTCAGGAAAATAGCTTTCTCAGGTCCACTGTTATTACTCTTTCCAGTATGGATGGGGGTTTCCTTCCTAATTTTTTGTTTGAAGTAGTATGGAACATCAACATCTTGATTATATCATTATTTTCTTGTTTACATGTGCTAGCCATTTTAGCTGTTTGCTGCTGTTGAAAGTCCTAAAGTATTGTAATGGAATGTCCCACATTCCCTATTGCCTATGTAGACTGACTATATCAGTAGTAATATATAGTGAGCACAGGATATAGCTGGGGCTTGCTTCGGAATTACTAGCCTGCCACCCGATTCCCTGTCTTTCAGTAGTGTATTCTCTTTTACAATAAACCTCTCTTCTTTCATCTATGTGCATGTTGCTGTTCTTTCACTTAAGTACCACCTTTGTCTGTTTGTAACCTCTTTACAGATACACCATATAGTAATGTGTTTTTTTTTATTTGGTAAATTTTTTTGTGATTCTGTAGCAGCAGGTTCAAAGAAACATGGTCCTCAATAAGTTCTACAGGGTCCATTCACTCAAAGCCATTTTAACTTGTTATCTGAGGAAATGATTGTATACAGCTGAGTTTTAGATATTTCTGAATGGATTTTGTGCCATGCATGACATCCATATGAAAGTCTTGATCTGATGAGACTATTTGAGTTTTTAGGTTTAATGCTTTGGTTTTGTTGGGCAAAACTACCCCTAGCACAGACTATTCTATATTCAATGTCCTTCTTTTCTATTAAATTTGTTATAATTAATTCATATACTGAGCTATTTCAAGAGTTTAGTATTTACTAACTCGACATATTAAATTTTTATGATGGATTCAGAGTAGGTACTATCATTGCATTCATTCCAATTCCAGATCAGATTTTTGAAAATTTTAAAAATAGACTTACAAAGTACAAGGCAAAGAATAAGTAAAAATAAGTGTTCAGTTTATCAAGCAATAAAGAACAACAAAATTTTCTTTAAGCAATGTTAGTGTAGTACTTTCCACCTGGTGAATATCTAGATATATTTAACTTTGTTGCTAAGAGGACTGAACAACTATAAGAAATTTCAGTGAAAATTAGCAGATAATTGATTAATTTGATTTATTTATATCAGCAAAGATTTCAAGGCAAAGATTTAATTAGTTTGTTTTCTTCATGCATATTATTATTATTATAGTTAATTTTGGCTATGACACATGATTGGCTGTAGAAGAAATCTAGTAGACCAACATCTTTATAAACCTATGCTCTCGAAAAAGTAAATATTTCTCTTTCTTTACCTTTACCAAAAGTGCTTCTTTCCAGCGAGTTGTTTTAGTCTTTTTTTTTTTCAAAATATAAATACTTGGACTTTCCTGTCAAAGTTTTATTATTTTATTTCCATCAAATATATGTTACATAAAATTTGAGTCTTATATTTTGCTTTCATTATATATAATTACCTCCTTAGTAGATATAAACTAATACTACACACTATCTTTATGGAAAAAGTGGGTCTCTTTTTTCATTAATGTGAATGAAAAATTTCAGATGAGAGTTCACAACTCTACACTGCAATTAATTCTGATCTACATAAACCTTTCCATGGCAATATAGTATGTGTTGCTAAGGCTACATATGACTTGAATTTAGAGTTGCTCTTCTCTTAGACTGGTTGCCAACCATAGCTACTGAGCCCAGTCTACCCTGCTATTTAAACTATAGCTGGGAGAGAATAGATAGATTTATACCTTTCCCAAGAGTATTTGTGTGAAAGTGAATGTAATAAACTTGATTAGAAGAAAGAAGTTTTAAAAACTTTTTAAAAATATACATTTCACTCTGTGTTAATCACATGGGATGATTTTTTACCCCAAAATTTTTAAAGTACTCATAATTCCTAGTTGGCAACTTAACTTTTTGCTCCCTTCCATTACTCTCTTAACTCAGAAACATGTAATACACGGTGAGGTGCAGTTGTAGCTATCTTGGGAGGCAGTCACCAGGAGACAATCCATTTTCAGAAATCCAAGATGAGTAACATAGGATTAAACTTAATTTAATGATTCTGCATGAAATCTAAAATTAAAGGCTAATTATCTTTAAGCCCACCAACCACTCCTTTTGCTTAGAGAGATGGCTGATAGGACTTAATCTATACTGATTACAGTATTAGTCTTCTGCATTAAAAATTTTGTACATATTTCAGTATGTAAACTATACCATAGTACCAAGGATTATTATTGTTGCTTGGAAAAAGAAGATATGAAAGAAAAGGTATGTAAGAAAACTAGAGGACTGTGGCGAAAGAGAAAGTCAACAAGAAAAAGGGCACATGTATTCTGTACGATATACTGAAGACAAAATAACCAAAATAGAAACAAGTTATATAAACTGTTCAGTGAAAATATTCCTTTTATATGGATTGGGGAAAATAATCGTATACCTCAATTTGTTATGTTGGACTGTAATGTACAGTAGCTTGTAACATATTTTTTTTATTTTAATTATTTCACTCCAAGCAAGGCAATAAAGCCACTAAGATGCAGGGGTTACTGAGTGTGAAAGAATATTAGAAAAAGAAAACATTATTAAGGAGTAAGAATAATAAAAAAACAGGAATTAAGTAGACGGAAGATAACAATTGACATTGCACTTAAATGTTAGAAGATCAAAGTTGACTGGAAAGCAAAAAGCTGGAAGAGATTTCAACAAGCGAGAAGTGAAAAAGATGAAACTTAGCATAGAACTTATGTTTACATCTAGAAATTTCAACTGTAAAATGATGAGCCTTGCCACCAATCTAGTAATGCACTTAAATTTGCAAAGTCTAGCTACTATAGAGGAAAGTTCATCAGAACAATTACCATGGAAGTATTTATAGAAAAGGCACAGGGAAGCAACATTATGGCAGTGGGAAATGACTGAAGTCAAGATGCCAGGTCAGGACCAATAACATTGCAAATTCTTCTTTGGATTTTATCCAGAATCTCTAAATATATAGCAATAGCACCAGACCAGCTATGGCAGCAATATTCAATGCAATCAACAAACATCTAAACACTAATCAGAATAATGTGCAGAGTTGCCAATTTAGCACTTTTGGAGTTAGATATGGTTCTTTGTCAATGTTTTTGGCTCCTGTAAATCAGAACATCACTCATTTTCTTATTAATATTTATGATTTCATAAGAAAAAATGCCAAGATATCATATCTAAAATATGTATTTTAATAAAATGTACTAGATAAAATATTGTTGCTAATTAACTTTACATAAAAAGGAAATGGAGATCAGAATTAAGCAAGTGTGGGGTGCAGTAAAAAAGTGGAAATCAGCTCAAAATAAATTTCTTACAAGCAACACTGGAAAATGTGCTGCTTTAGGGTGCTGAAACAAAGAAGGAGGATTACGACCATGTTGAAACACCAGTTCCCATAGAAACACTGAAATTAAGCCTGGTCAGTATCTAGACGGGTGACTGCTTGGTAATATCAGCTGCTGTAAGCTTGGATGTGTGGGTGGTGTAATGGATAATAGCTTGGAATTGGAAATCAGACAGCTGAGTTCTAATTCCAGTTGGGTTTGTTATATTTACTTACATGCAAATCCTTCTGAGAAAGCTATGAATCCACCTCTTCTCCCTGCAGCTATGAGTTAATTAGTAGGACTTGCATCATTGTTATCTCCCAAAAATTCTTGATCTTTCTCAGTGCATTTAGCTCTTTCAAATCGCTCTTTTTTCTTAATATTTATTTCATAAATATGAAAAAGTGCTAAACACTAAAGACATTGAAAAGATCTCATTCTGGGAGGATTAAATTGATTGGTAACTCTGCTATCTATGAATGATCTAATAGAAAAGATTTAGCCAAATGATCTGAAAAAAACCTCTCATGATTGAAAAGGTAAAACAAATGTCATAAAATCATCCTTTAAGTTTAAGGAAATTGGGCACAAAATCTGTAAATATAAAAAAAACGAATTTATTTTCAAAGAAACATATCTTCAAAATATTCGTCAAATTCTTCCTCTCTTGATTTTTCAGTAAAGTCCCCAGATTTTTTTTTCCAGACCGATTCCTCATCTTCTTTCTCAGTCTGAGATTGAGGAATTGACTCTTCATCTGAAAGGGCCTTTTCTTTTGCAGAATTATCAACTGTATCTTCATTTGCGTCCCTTCCCTTAGAATTATTGCCTTTTTTCTTCTTAGTCACTTCTTTCCTCTTATGATGGTAGTTGAGTTTGTAGGAACAGTCAGGGCACAGTCGGACTTTTACTAACGCATTTTTTTTCTGACCTTCCTCTACATATCCAAAGTTCACTTCCCAGCTTCTTAAACCTTCTATTTCCTCACAAGTCTTATTGGCACATATAAACTGTCCCTTCCCACTTATCACCTCTTTTTCCATCTGCCACCGAAAGGCGACTTTATTTTCTTTGTAACGGCTTAAGTCCGTTATACAATATTCCTTGAATAATTTATCATAATACTTTTTAGCAAGCCGCTTTTCCCATGATTTTTCTTCGTCTTCTTCATCCCATAGAAATTTGTGGTTCTCTCTTATGATATCCAAATCAGTTTTATCTTTAGATGTGTCCCGTTTATAGTCACTCCGGCTACCTCGGTAAAACATCATGTAGTCGTTTATAAATTTTTTATGTCTCGAATAGGCATCCATACTTACAATATGAAATCGTTGAGTTCTTGATTGTTCTTTACAGAATTCTTTTTCTACTTCGTTCTTTTTCGCCAGTCCTTTTCGTTCTTTCTTCTTTTTCTTTTTCTTTGATGAGGATGACCACGAAATAGAAAGTTCGTCATTGTCATCTTCTTCATGCTTTCTTTTCTTCGACTTGTTTCGTTGTTGTCCATGATCAAATTCGCCTTCACTATCAAAATCTGAATCGTAATAACTACCTTTGTGAACTGCAACAAAATTTGTTATCCTGTCTTCAGTCATGATTACTTTTATCGTTAAATTATAAATAACAATTTAAAATTCTAAATTGTTAAATGTAGAAAGACATGTTTTTACGTTTCAACATAGCGAAAGTCGCGACTGAAAAAAAAAACCTATATTTTTAGAGAGAGTTAACTCCCCACGGTGAAAAATATTAAAAAATATCTTATTTAAATAAGTCCGTTCTCCCAACAAGCTATTTCAAGAATTCAAATTTTCTTATTTTTCTCTGTAGGTCGAGTATAGAATTGAACATCATATGAGAACATTCGACCAGGAAAAAACAAACATTTAAAGTTATAAATGACATCACATCAGTCTACTCTCTAGTGGATAAGTGTTGTAGTTTTACTTAGTAGTCGGGAGTTCAATCCGTGGATCAGCCAGTGGAATCCATTGTCTGGTTTAGCAGAATGAGTAAGATTACACTACAGTATAAGTATCATCAATATCACCATTGTTATGGGCAACTTTTTGTCAAGGTTATCCATAGGTGTGTGATAAATTTGAAAGGCATTAACTACCACCACGAAAAGCTGAAAAAAAAAAATTATTTTAAAAAAATTTAAATGTCTTCTTTGAAGTTAAATTTTGATTTTATTTGAAAGAACAGCATAAAAACTACTAATCTATAAAAAAAAAAGAAATAAGAATTTTGCGTAGTTAAATTTTTGATATTTTGAAAATATTGACGCACTCATATTTAATTTATCACTCAACTCATCGAACCTCCGTTATTGATGGAAAATAAAAACAACGAATTTATTTTAAAATCTCTTAAAAATTAAATACTTGTTATGGAAATTTGTTTTAAAGTAAATTAGTAAATTTAAGTATTAATTAACTGATTTTCATAAAAGTAATGCTTACTTCATGCTTAACATAACAAAAATAACGTTTATTTAAGCATGGTAAAAAAAAATCGTCTTACCGTCACCCCCACCCTGCAAAGTGAACAATTGAACATCTACTATTCCTGCAAAAGCAAAGCACATCTAAAATCTAAATATGTATGAAGAACCAAAAGTACTACAATCTAGAAATTAGTATTGTTTATGTTTAAAAATAACCTTAGAACCAACATTTTAGTAATATAATTTTTTAGGATTTTATGAAACAGTAGAATGGATTTTTTAAAAAATTTCTATGCTACAATACATTTAGAAGTAAAAAGAAATTAATTCAAATCTGGTTAAATGATACTCTAGAATTTAATTCCTTTTTATTTTTTATTATTTTCTTATTTGTTTGATGTTATAAAATATTCAATTACACCCAATATAAACTAAATTTTTATTTCACTTTTTGATACCCTCCCAATATGGATAACCGAGGCCATCACACCCTCTGACACAGCTTCTGAATGCTACTGACCCCTAATGTACACACGAGGTATCAAAAGGAGGATTGAAACTGACCCCAGAAAATATTTCCAGAAAGTTTTCTAATAAAATAACCGATTCAGTATACAATTCATTCATTAATGAATAAGTACCGAAAATTTCATTTAAATTGGATATTTCCCTGAATTTTTGTAAATTTTTAAAATTGGGTAGTAATATTTTTGCTTTCATTTCAGAAAACACATCCATTTTTTTAACATGTACAAATAAGAAAAGAATGAATAAAATGTTACAGTGAGATCTAAAAATAAAAGACATTAATAATATTTTTGTATCTTCTCAGAGAATTATTTTGTCAGTAACACTAGCTGTAATGTTTTTCTTCTTAATTTTCAAAGCCCAGCATAAAAATCTTTTCTATAATAAAATTATCTTCAATACTTTAAACCATTAATCCTATTCTGTCAATAAACTTTGCTTTTATTCCTGACCACTGATAATCTCTTTTTCTTGTTTTTCAAAGCGTAACATACAAATAATTTCTATAGTAAAAATTATCTACAATGATTTGCTGCAGTAAAACCATTTGATAATCCTTTTTTAAAAATGTTTATGTGTAACATACAGTTTGAGTGCTGGAACTTGTTAAAAGAAATTTTAAAGGAAATTTCAAAATTCCTTGCTTAATCATCAAATTTTATTTCTCTGCTGCTAGAAATATTTACTTAGTAAATGTAAAAAAATAACTCAAACTAAGCATGCAGTTGTCAGAATAAAGATAAGTAAGAAAAGTTGAAGCCATGTTTATTTATAAATAAAAGTGACATTAAAATACAACCATACTACTTGTTTCATTTTCCCCTCTACCACTAGAGTTTGTTGTGTCACGATTAGAGTCACAAATGAAAGTTTTAATAAATTATTATAATTCTTTTTGTCCCGCCATTACTTAGTATGTCCGTCATGTCCTTCCAATAACTTAAATGATGAACTATTTTGTTTTGATAACGTGTAAAGACAGAAAAAACATATCAGAGATACTACATGGTAAAAAAAAGAAAGAGAGAGAAAAGAAAAACGTTTTGACTGTTCTGTTTTGAATGTGTGAAATGATAGAAAAGACATATCAAAGGCTCCGTTTGATTTCAGTGAAGTAAAGAAAGAAAGAAATGCCCTGCCAATACCTCATAAATAATGGACTGTTCCATTTTGATCATGAGGAAAGATGCAAAAGACATATCAGAGACTGTTTGATTTCAGTGAGAAAAGGAAAGAGATACCCTGTCAATAATTAATGAACTGTTCTGTTTTGATCTAGAGGAAAGGCAGAAAAAAAAGAAAGAAACAACCAAAAAACGCCCTGCCAATACATCATAAATAATGGACTATTCCATTTTAATCATGTGGATTAAAGGAAAAGACATATCAGAGATACCATTTTATTTCCGTGAAAAAAAAGAAAGAAACGCCCTGCCAACATCTCATAAATAATAGACTGTTCCATTTTGATCACAAGGAAAGATAGAAAAGACATATCAGAGGCACTGTTTGATTTCAGTTAAAGAAATAAAGAAAATTCAAATTGGAAAGCTGTGAAATTTTCATGGGTACCACAAGTATGATATGTTTTAGTAAAAAAGATGATTAAACATTCAATTGTTAGAGTGAAAATGAAAGTTTTAATTTGATAAATGTGTTGAAGGTGAATGCCCACAGAACTAGATTGAGAATTTTCAAAGACATTGAATTCAACATTTTCAAAAGGAGTGAATTTCAACACATGGTGGAATTTTACCTATATATTTATATGTAACGGTTATACTTTGATTTCACTAATGCCTCCCTAATTAAAAAAGAACATAATTCTTTAAGGAGAAAATATATTGAAAAACCTAATAACATTATTACCAACTATAAACATACGGCTAAAGTATTACATTACCTCGCCATCTTTCTTTGAATCCATTCTTAAAGAATCTATCTAATACAAAATATACATTCTTAAAGAGGTCACCTATAAATTAGAACCTTCTGACACACCACTGCATGAGCTGACCACACAAAGGTGAATATACCAGAACCCCCATTAGACAGACATACACCCACAATTACAAATACATATTACCATCTGATGCCCACTTAGACAAGAATCTTCACAAACCTACATACACATAGAATTATTTAGGGTTTTAATACATGTGACACATGTCTGACCAGTGGAACTAAGCTAAACATAATTGAAAATACCAGTGTTTCTGTCGATTTGTCTATTTACTCTCAATCTCTGATGAAGCTTTAATAAAAGTGAAACATGTTAGATTGATATACACTTCCTATTTGTTCTTTATTTTATCATCCTGTCAGATTCTGATCCATATTTGGTTTGCATTTGGTTTTTAACTCATATATAGGTTAACTATACAAGAAGAGAGCTCTTATACTTGTGTGTAGTATTGGATTACCAACCCAAAAACAGGTGTGGCAATATTTGAAAGGCCCTCCATTTTTTTGTTTGATTTTTAGATTGGCAACACACATTCCCTTTCACTCTGATAGACACAATTCATATAAATACTTCAGAGACACAAATTGAAGATTGTATTGAACTGTTCATAACTTCAACTTTGTTTCTTTTTTATCCTGTCTTCTTAATAAATTTATTAATTGTTGTTTGAATTCCATGTTTTTACTATTTTTACCCAGACTCGCATGAGTCTGCCAAATATTGTTTTCAGAACAAATGTACCAGGAGGCATAAAATGATGATACTTTCTATTCCAAGAAAAATATTGTAAGCTTTGCTGCCAGAAAATGTGAGTGAGTGTGTTATGTAAATTAAAATCTAGTAGGTGTGTGCGTTAAATAAACCACATGGGTTGGTGAGGCGATTTAACACTTAGTTGGAAGTTTTGAATTCACAGTTTTCCTTCTTCTAGACTGGTTGCCACCCAAGGCTATAGAACCCAGTCTGTCCTGCTATTTACCCATAGATAGGGGGAGAAGAGATGGATTCATACCTTTCCTAAGTGTATTTGCATATAAGTGAATGTAATGAACTTGACTGAAATTTGATCTCACTTTTCCAATTTCACAATCCAAGCTGCGATCAATTACTCCACCATGTTCTATCAAATATTGAATTGTGATCTGCTGTTAAGAAAGTTGGTTTACTGTGTCATGTTAGATAATTTTTTCCCTGAATCTATCTTAGATATTTATAAGTCTACCATTCATCCATGCTTTGAATATTGCTACTACATATGGTCCAGTACTCCTGTTGTATATTCTTAATAAAATCCAAAGAAGAATCAGCAATAGAATTGGTCCTGACCTGACATCTCAGCTTCAGTCACTTTCCCAGCACCATAAAGTGGCCTCCTTGTGCCTTTTTTTTATAAATACTTTCATGGTGATTATTTTGATGAACTTTTCTCTATGGTACCTAGAATTTATGAATTTAAGTGCAGTACTATGTTGTTCAAATTTAGTCAAAAATTACATACTAATACCCTTTTTAAAGATATGAATCCTCTTCCTCTCCCCCCAGCTATGGATAAATAGCAGGACAGAC